CCAAGTTCCACAGGGATATAGTAATACTATTCCCCAACCAGGTCCTTCATCTCAATATTATGAGCATAATCACCAAATCAACTATCTTTCCAGTGAAAATTCAAACAATCCTGTTTCACATTGTAAGTCTTATGATGAACAGTATTGCAATGTAGGGAGTGGTCATACTGGTCAAATTACACGCTATCAAAAGAGATGGACTCAAAATGATCAAGGCAATAACGAATACGGTTCTCATGCTTCAGAAGTTTATGATTATCATCATTCTTACTCTCTTGAAAGGTCATTTAACTCGTCAGCTGCTAGACCAACTAATCCTTATAACCAACCCTATCCACGTTTTAGCCAGAATAATCGTAACATGTGGCCTAGAAATCCCGAGTCTTTCCAACCCGTAGATGGCTTCCCTCCACCTGCGCAATTCGACGATATGCAACTTCACCGTCCAAGTTATCAATATCAAGTGAGAGTTGCGGGTTTATTTGAGGTTTACTCGTGTATGGGTTTCAAAGGATTTTATTTTTAGGAAGTGTCCTATGTGCTTGAATATTTCATTGAATCCAACCAGTATAATTTTAAAAGATATCTTTAGTAATATCTTTTATCAATTTGTAACTAATGTACTGTGGACACATTATCTTATACGATAAGTACTATTTGTTAGCTAAATTTTATTTATTATTTATTTGAACACAAATATTGGTACAAGGGGACACCAGATATATATGCGCCACACAAAAAATTGTCATTTTATTTGTGTGAGAGCTATGATACTGCCCGGGTGCCCAAACTGAAGCAGGTGGTTTTCTTAGAGGGCCAAACCCCGGGCCTTCGACCTAAAAGTCTGATCCACAAAGCAGTGGAGCATCTTAAGTAGATGCAGTCCCATGGTAGTCGGTGACCAACGATAGGTTCATACGCCATTTGTTCCCTCAGGATACTGGTGTTGGTTAAAACTTTCTTATCATTAAGAATATTGAAGCTCATTTTGAGGATCTTGTTAACCATAGGTTCAAGCGTGGGTGTTAGTAATTGGATACTTTTTTGTTCAAGGAAACCACTACTTAAGAAACATGTATTTTCAGTATTTTAAATTTTTAATAAATAATTCATATACAAGTGTAGACCGTCTAACTGTAGCACATAATGAGCGATGAGACAAAAAATTCAGACATTACATTATTCTTAGAAATTCATAGCTTGTAAATATTGTTAGTAAAAAGAGCTAACATTCTTCTTTACTTTTGTGCAGGAGGAGCCTAAATATATTCCTCTCAGTGAAGATACACCGGTGATTGAAAGTAAACAATTCCGTGGATGTCATGATCACGACTACCGCATTACAATACAAAGTCCTACAGTTCCGTCTGGTAGTATGGAAGAAAATTGGAAAGATGTAGACACTCGTCCTATTCTGCCTAGCGACAGTGATCACACAAGCCCGGCAATATTTCCGTCGGCTATTGCAAATAAAGCCCTAGCTGATCCCAGACCAATTTCACTTATCCCAACGCCCATTATTGAATCTTCGTGTAAGCCCAGGGGTCGTATCACACATCTGCCTGTTCCGGAACATCTAATGACAGCTTTCGGTGTGCCCTCATAGTTTTATTTTTTGTTCACACTTGGTGTCTTTGATGTATTGATTTCTAGTCTTAGGGTAAAGTTTTATTTGAGTGTCGCAACATACTGCTTAACAGACTTATATCCTTTATAAGATCTTATTTCGCAACTGACTTTGTCAGTTTGATCTTTTGATTAGGACTTCTTCGTTATACTATACAGTTTGTTGGAATGTACTCTGATTAGATAAGAAAAGTTGTTGAGATTTGTTTATTTTAGAAACCAAATATCCTCAACTCTCGGGTTTTGCGGGTAAAGTCTGAATAAGTCCATATTTTCAGTCAGTCGTAACGTAGAACCTGGTACGTCTGTATATCGTTTCAAGTTTCTATACCCCATTAACACAGAAAAACGACATTTTTAGGTCAAATCCCAGAAATGTAGAGGTACAGCATTAGTAGCAATCGAATAGTTTAACCATCAAAGATACTATTACAAAAAACTAGTGAAATAACATAAAAGAATTTCAGAATTTAGGAAAGACAGAGAACGTATGTTTCCGTATGATTGGTTTCGGTATTCACGCCGACCTCATCTTAGTTTTATTGTACTTAAAAGTGATGCTGTTCAACGATTTTAAGGTCCCTTTCATTCTAACTGATTCTTAATCAATAGAAACTGACAGGCTTTTTGGTTTATAAATTATACATTTATAGGACATTCTAGTACAATTTGGATAGTAGATTAATACGTCGCACCAATGAGTGGTGATACTATAATTAAATAAAGAAGATTGCATAATCATTAAGTAAATGAATAAATCTGTATTTGATAGAAGCAAAATACCATCACTTCTGATTCGTTCTTCAGTTTGATAATCCAGTTTTTAATTATCCGCGTTTTCTCGGTCATTATTTTACAATTTAAAACCCTGTCCAGAGGAAGCTGCTGCAAGCACTGGAGTTTGGCCTCCAAAGGGTTTAGAACCAGAACAAACCGGAGGTGGTAATACCAAACCTCGTGCTCTCCCCGCTTGGCTTCGTGATGAATTAGAAAAATTGGAAAAGAAAAAAGCTAAAGAATTGGCTGCTGTATCTGGAGCTACTGGTTAGTCTAGTTGTGCTTACAGTAATGATACTCAAATTTTTGATTGCTTAGTAGTATGTAGAGATTACATAGGGATTAGCTTTTACTTTTCGATGTGTCTACATCCTCATACGAACCTACATTATCTTGGCAGGTTAAATTAGTTAGCGGTTCGATTAATCATGTGCACCTTGATTTATCTATAACTATTACGATGTATTCTGGGTCTGAGCAGCAAAATGAACTAGACATTTCCGTGTAGTTCAAGGTAATTGCTTCGTCCACCAGTATATGTTTATTTGATATTTATCACTCATGACTGTTTACAGAAATAACTAAAGGAAACTCTCTTTAGGAGTTTCCCCTCGAAAAGTAGTAGCAATATTTGTGTTATATGCTGTTGATTGTCCAGTTAACCGTGAACTATTTGTGACTTAGTCCCCCAAGAACTTTATGTTGAGTAGACAGTTTTATGTGCTTTTCGTACTACATCCAGCTACATTAAAAACCCGTGATATGATACAACCCTCATGTCATCCTTTGAACTCCTTTCAATATGGTTCAGGCGACCGTTTACTGTGTATGACTGAGCACTTCTCTCGTAGTGGCTGTGTACTTGGGACAATTTCAACGAGGTCATTATAAATCCCAAGTAACATTGAATGAACCTTGAGTTCGTTTAATGTATTGCATTTGATCTAATTTATCTACGGAATTTATAATTTCGAGACCGGTACTACACAACCATGAAGAATTTGTACTACTCCTATTTTGAGTTAACCTTCCAAGGACTGTTCACTATAATGTTCGAAGTTTTCCAATTGTTCAGTACTGATTTCAAAGCATCCAACTAGTTATTTCCTAGGTGTTGCCCTCTGCTTATTAGTGAGGATCATCTTATCTTGGGCCGTTCAAGGTAAATTATTCAGAGTACTGCAATAAGCATGATTATTTCAATCAGTCTTAGGTACCATTTAGTTCAGTACCAGGATAGCGTGCATCTTTTTGTCATGTTTCTTTATACAACGAGACAACTGGTGTTAAAATTGTTTAAGAAAACACTAGTCGGCTCGTTTACTATGTATTCGCTAAATATGTTACTAAATTCCGTCAAAATCATAAGTGATGTTCAATACGTGTGGTTAAAATTACCTAATGGCTTTATTACTATCTTAAGTTTTAGGGGCTGCTCCTGATGCTAAAAGGGATGATGAAGGTGATATCGTTATGGAGGATGAAGCTAAAACTGATGTCCAAACAATAAAATCTCTATTGAACAATAATGAAGAATCAGACGGTGATGTCAAGGAACAGGAAAGTCCTTTTGATATTTCAAGTAATCCTGTTGGTGACCTCCAGTCCCCGTTTTCATCTCGAAGTCAACCTCCTACGGAATTAGAGGAAATCTCAAACCCTGAAACTGCGGTAAAACAACTAACTACAGATAATTCTCAAAGTATTTTACCCAACATTCCTGCATCATTAACGGTAAGCTCATTGAAGCTTGTAAGCAAATTTCAGTGCTTAGTCGTCAAGCTACTGTATGGTGATTTGACTTCTCGTAGCTATATTCTACATTTGAACCAAAAGTCCCAGATATTCCATTAATGCATTCGTTTGACACTTTCATCAAATCGCTTCATTGTATTGGGAATAGTAGGATTTGAAGCAATTTAAAGCTTTTTAGTTTATGAGATTTTAAAAGGGAATTTTTGTGGAAAGTATCAGATAAAGCTAGCTGATCTTTCCAAAGATTAACTATTGTATTGTCTAGCGCTTTGAACAGTTGACGCATATTGTCATTAAATATGACTTTATTGAAGTTGATGCTACCTCACACTCATTCTCTGCCACATGTTTGATATGTATTTGGTTTTGCGAATGTTGGAACTACCGTATTCGGACTGGTGCACAACAGCCTACACATCTGCTATCCCTTCAAGAATTTCGTGAGTTGTTCACATCATTATCGGACGAAGAACAAAGGACTGAAACGGTAAGAAAATATTGTATCCAATATATTTTCCTAAACGCAAATAAATATTTTTTGGTTTTCGTGGTATTTCTTACTTCAAATATCTAAGGTTAATATTAACTAATAAATTACTGAGCTTAAGACTTTCATAATGCACTTATTAAGATGGCTTTTTCTAACCTAGTAGTAATTGTTTGTGCTGATCGGCTTTTTTATCAACCTAAACAAGCAGTTAAAAACTCAGTCAGGTACGACATACTTGAGCATGACCATATTTCCCACATTAAAAGCATACTCGTTTTTTAAAGTAACAAACTGGCGGAATGACACTTACCACATCGCCCACAAGACGCTTTGTGTTTCACTTGATTTGGAATTCGCTGGGAGTACGAATCTTTATTCCCATTAAAAGATTTACGTAAAGCATTAACATGGGCTCCAGGATCCTGATGGAACGAATGGCGTATGAACCTATTGTTGGTCACCGGCTACCATGGGACTGCATCTCCTCACGATGCTCCACTGCCTTGGGGATCAGACCTTTAGGTTAAAGGCTCGGGGTTTGGCCCCCTAAGAAAACCACCTGCTTCAGTCTGGGCACCTGGGCAGTATCACAGCCCTCACACAAATCAAATGAGATTTGTGAGGCGCATATTTATCTGGTGCTTTTTGTACCAATATTTATGTGTTTAAATAAAATAAAATAAAGCATTAACTCCCACGTGTTCACTGTTCCTTTCTACGAGAATCGTGTCATGCTTCAAATTAACCATTATTTGACACTCTTCAGATACTGATTGCAGAATGATGTTAGTATCTTGTTCGATTCTCGCTAGAATCCGTGTTCTAATATCTGCATATACTGAAGATTGTAATCCACAGACAAAAATAATGCATTTGAATTGATCTGAGGACCGCTCACATTCCCGGTTCATGATGCTTGCATACGTCACATAGTCGTCTTGTGCCTTCTTTACAAGTTGAAAACATTGGTATCTAGTGTGAAAAATTGATGATCGTTCTCCAAATATGTGTCAGGCATTCTACTGTTTCTCTGAAGGTTATGTCGGTTGTCGTCTTTGGGAAATTCTCATGTTCAGGACACTCCAAGCTTCTGTAGCAGTAATCTCAGTTTTGAGCCTCTGTCCCACTCTTTACAATCATCAATAAACCTATCCTCATGGCGTCTAAACCACGCCTCAAAAGTAACTCCACTTTCTGGATCAAATCTAAATTCAGTTATAGAATTTGCAATAGAATCCGGAGTCATAGTGGAATTAGACACATTTGTGCTTGAGGTTGTTGACATATTTTTGACTAATAATTCGATTAGAGAATTTTGCTGTTGCTATAAGGTTTTCTGATCATCCATTTTGTTGTTACAAAATTCAATTTAACTGAATATATAAGCGTAGATTCGTTTTGATTACTGTCGCCAATTGTTATAAACGTTAGGATAGTTGTTATAACTCTTGGGTTTCGTGTTATAACAGTCCTTTCACTTTTTACACGCATATGGGAGGTTAATGTACCTTAGATGAATATCTACACTAGATTCCTACACAGTGTCTATTCTACAGGACTTCAACACAACTCAGATCAAGAATACAAGATTAGCCTGACTAGAACGTCAATATATTTCCACACCAAAATCCGACACAAGAAACAGTCAATACATAATAAGGATAGGGGGATATATATAACACATTTAACACCTGTCATACTCTATAATGTCTGACTCATCAAGACAACCAATCAATGTCATTCTCGCCCACACATCAATAAGTTAGCATTTATAGCTATTTTGATTTTATCCAGCTTGATCTTGAGTATTGTATTCACTTATGTTCTGTAAGCAAACTTTTTTCATTGAAATGTTTGTAATGGTTCATTTGATCATTGTGGTGATTTCATTAAATGTGATCATCAGAAAGCCCTAGATCTAGTTACTCATCAGGAATACACATTTGCTGATACTACTCGTGAGAATCAAACCTCCATCGTTGTTTCATAGTCGAAAACGTTTTTGCGATCGACACATTGGACAAAAATGTCGACACTAATCGATCAGTACTTACGACCAATCAGACATGGGATTGATAATTTGTCGGTAATCTGTAAATCGCTATCAAACATTGCGACGTTAGAAGCAAGGTGTTGTTTGTGCTGGTATTATCGTTTCTATGATAGCGGTGGTTTTTTACTCTAAGCTCACAACTGTCGATCCACAGAATACAGCTGCTCTGCATCTCTAAAGGTTCGAGCTGCCAAATAAATACCATTATTTCTCAAACAATAAACCTGTGCTATCCTGGTGATTAAGTATGCCTAGGTTTTTAAGTAAAGAATGTTAGCTGTGAGTAATATCTGTTCACAACCTAATATTCTTTCCAAAACAAATTTTCATAAATCCGAACAATCAGTAAATTTCATTGTTTTACAGGCTCGTTTTATTACCCGCACGCTGACGGAGGCTCTGCTGGCTGTTACGACCGAACTTATTGACGGCATAGTAGAAGAAGTAATGACAGAAGCGGTTTCAGGGAAATCGCATGTTCTACCATCAGAAGACTCTCCATCTGTCGAGATAAAATCCCCAATTCTAGGTAACTGGACAGCATTTGTTTCTTTCTTTGTGTAACTGTAGTTGGATTTGTTATATTTAAACATAACTTGATTGTCTTGTCCCAATTATTGACTAAGTAAAACTTTCTAATGGTTGAATTGAGCTGTTATTTATCTCAGTGATTCGTCGCATGAAATTTTGTATTTGTATTTTAGTGTAACTTTCACTAGCAGTACTTGGGAATACAGATGTTTAGCTTTTATTTCAGTTGTTTTTTTGTCAAAGTTTTTTAAGCGCTACTTAACAGACATTTTATTTAGAGTAATCAGTGTGAAGGCTTAACTCTCAAATCCTTTTCAATACAAAGAGGACCTTTGACACTTAAGCTTCAACTAAGTTTTTTGCTGATTATGTAGTGTGCTAATAATTCATATACCACGTTTACTTTATATTGGCACATGGACTTTTGTTTACATGAAAAGACTGCTGTAACTAATACACGCATGATGTACTACTACTCACCGTAACTTCGAAAGCTAATAAAAAGTGGAGAAATGAAATTTAGTGTATTCATACTGGTGAAGATCTAAGTAAAAATGATCTTGATAGGAGTTTAAAGAAGTAATAGAGATCGATGTATGAAAATGATAAATAATTCATGCATCCGCACCTTTCTCCGCTATGTCGATTTATGTTCTATGTGAAAAGCTACAAATCCTCGTTTAATACTCAAAGCTACATGTTCTCTGCTTTATGTAACATTGTTCAACTTGTAACGTGCTAAATGATATCTAGCTTGGTTCTCAGATTTGTAAAAGTTTCAAAATGACAATATTGTCAGTAATTTGAACTATCTAACTTACTTACTTACTTTCGCCTGTTACTCCCAATGGAGCATAGGCCGCCGACCAGCTTTCTCCAACCCACTCTGTCCTGGGCCTTCCTTTCTAGTTCTATCCACTTCTTGTTCATTCTTCTCATGTCTGTCTCTATTTCTCGGCGTAATGTGTTCTTTGGTCTTCCTCTTCTCCTTCGACCTTCAGGATTCCATGTGAGGGCTTGTCTTGTGACACAATTGGGTGATTTCCTCAAAGTGTGCCCAATCCACTTCCAGCGCTTCTTCCTGATTTCTTCCTCCGCTGGAATCTGGTTTGTTGTCTCCCACAGTAACTTGTTGCTGATAGTGTCTGGCCATCGGATCCGAAGTATCTTGCGTAGACAGCTGTTAATAAACACTTGTATCTTCTGGATAATGGCTTTCGTAGTTCTCCACGTCTCTGCCCCATACAGAAGAACTGTCTTGACATTTGTATTGAAAATTCTAACCTTGGTGTTGGTTGACAATTGTTTTGAGCTCCAGATGTTTTTCAGCTGTAGGTATGCTGCTCTTGCTTTGCCGATCCGCGCCCTCACATCTGCATCTGATCCACCGTGTTCATCAATGATGCTGCCCAGATATGTAAAGATTTCCACATCCTCCAAAGCTTCTCCGTCAAGTGTAATTGGATTGGTGCATATTGTATTGTATCGGAGAGACTTACTTTTCCCTTTGTTTATATTGAGACCTACTGCTGCTGAGGCTGCTGCTACGCTGGTCGTTTTCTCCTGCATTTGTTGTTGCGTTTGTGATAGAAGAGCCAGATCATCCGCGAAGTCTAAATCGTCAAGCTGCATCCTGTCTGTCCACTGTATCCCGTGCATTCCTCCAGATGTTGACGTCTTCATGATCCAGTCGATGACCAGGAGAAAGAGAAAGGGTGAGAGTAGGCAACCTTGCCTAACACCGGTCTTTACCTCGAACGAGTCGGTGAGTTGTCCTCCGTGGACGATTTGGCAGTTTAGTCCATCATAGGAGTTCCGTATGATGTTGACTATCTTCTCAGGCACGCCGTAGTGTCGAAGAAGCTTCCATAGTGTCGTCCTGTCCACGCTATCAAATGCCTTCTCGTAGTCGATGAAGTTGATGTAGAGTGATGAATTCCATTCGATTGATTGTTCCACAATGATACGTAGAGTTGCGATTTGATCTGTGCACGATCTATCCTTACGAAATCCAGCTTGTTGATCTCGAAGTTGGGCGTCCACGGAATCCTTCATCCTGTTTAACAATGCTCTGTTGAAGACTTTTCCTGGTATTGAGAGGAGAGTGATGCCCCTGTAGTTGTCGCACTTGCTAAGATCACCTTTCTTTGGTATTTTGATAAGAAGTCCTTCTTTCCAGTCTGTTGGTACATGTTTTTCGTCCCAAATCTTACTAAAGAGGATGTGTAGTATCTTGGCAGTTGCTGCTACATTTGCTTTCAGTGCCTCTGCCGGGATGTTGTCTGGTCCCGCTGCTTTGCCACTCTTGATTTGTCTAATGGCCATGCTGATCTCTTCAATTGTTGGTGGGCCAATATCGATTGGGAGGTCCATGGGTGCTGCTTCGATGTTGGGTTGGTTCAGTGGAGCTAGTCGATTCAAGAGTTCTTTGAAGTGTTCTACCCACCTGTTTCGTTGTTCTTCAATATCGTTGATTACTTTGCCTTCCTTGTTTTTCACTGGTCTTTCTGGTTGACGGTAATTTCCAGCAAGTTTCTTTGTTGTATCATACAGTTGTCTCATGTTTCCCTCTCTTGCAGCCTTTTCCGCTGTCATCGCTAAATCTTCCACATATTTACGTTTGTCGGTTCTGATGCTCCTCTTCACTTGCTTGTTTGCCTCTGTGTATTTGGTTTGTGCCTTGGCTTTTTCCGCTCTTGTTCGGCTGATATTGATTGCTGCCTTCTTGTTCCATCTTTCTACAATTTTATCCAGTGTACCAACAGTGATCCATTCCTTGTGATGGTGCTTCTTTTGGCCCAGGACCTCCTGACATGTTGAAACGATTGCCTCCTTGATACCTTTCCAGCTGCTCTCTATGGTGGTTCCCTCTCCATTGAGTAGGTCATGAAAGGCCTGGAACCTGTTGCTGAGGGCTATGTTAAATTCGTTGAGTTTGTCAGCATCTCGAAGAAAGGCCGTGTTAAACTTTTGTGATGTTGTCCGCGCCATTGTCCAGTGCTTCTTGAGTTTTAGTTTCATCTTGGCGACCAGCAAATGGTGATCGGATGCTATATCAGCTCCTCTTCTGGTTCTCACATCCTCCATCGTCCTCCTGAACTTTTTGTTGATGCAGACATGGTCGATTTGATTTTGTGTAGTGTGATCCGGTGAAATCCAAGTGGCTTTGTGTATGTTTTTGTGTGGGAATATGGTGCCACCTATGACCAGTTTATTGAAGGCACATAGGTTTGCAAATCTCTCACCGTTTTCGTTCCTTCCTCCCAGTCCATGTTGTCCCATGACGTCTTCGTATCCAGTGTTGTCCTTTCCAACCTTGGCATTGAAATCTCCCATTAGAATGGTCAGGTCCTTGGTTGGGCACTTCTCGAAGATTGACTGCAGCCTATCGTAGAATTGGTTTTTAGCGTCTTCATCGTAGTCGTTGGTCGGCGCATAGCATTGGATGACGTTCATTGTAATGCCCTCTCTCTTTGTTCTGAAGGAGGCTTTGATGATCCTCGGACCATGAGATTCAGTCAGTCAGTCAGTCAGCTACAACGTAGGACCAGGCACATATATGCATCGGTCCAAGTTGCCATACCTCTTTAGCACAACAAGATGAACACCGGATTCATAGAAGCAATTAATTTAGTGATGGTAGTATATAAAGAAAGATTGTATAGAAGGATATAGTACAGGAAGGAAGAGAGATATGAAGCAATTTTAATCTCAAGGTTTAAGGGAAGATAAAGAGTGTATACACCTACGCCATTGTGATCGATTCTGAGCCATGTCACCTAGAGTCTCCAACCATTTATTACGATAGTCACGCGGACCCCAACCAGGTAGTCTGCATCTGACAACATGGCTCAGGCTAGAAGTTAGTGACTTCAAACACTGATGCCATGTTTTGGTTTGGCCGCCCCTAACTCTCTTCCAACCGTCCCCAATACTAGTCATCATAGCGCGTCGTGGTAATCGGTGTTCAGGCATACGTAACACATGGCCCAACCATCTCAGTCGATGAAGATTTATCACCTCATCAACTGATTTACCATCGTTACCTAATACCCTGCGTCTAACCTCACTATTACTTACTCGGTGATCCCAGCAGATGCGAGCAATATTTCTAAGGCATCTGTGGTCAAATACTAGTAACCTACGAGTATCTTCTACTCTTAATGGCCATGTTTCGCAGCCGTAAAGTAGAACAGAGCGAACTGCTGCGCAGTATACTCGTCCCTTAATTGATAGACGGATATCTCGTCTTCGCCATAGGTGACGTAAGTTGGCAAAAGCCAAACGAGCTTTTTGAATCCGTGCTGAGATTTCGTCAGACACCAACCCATTAGGGCTGATCAGACTTCCAAGATAAGTGAAGTTGTCAACGCGTTCGACTACTTCACTCCCTATCCTTAGTTCGAGTGTTGACGCAGGCCAGTCCTGGAGTAACAATTTACATTTGGATGGGGAGAAACGCATCCCAAACATCCTGGCATTATTACTCAGTTCCAACAGAAGACTCTGCATTTTGTCAGCGTCTTCACCAAACAGGACTATGTCATCTGCGTATTCTAAGTCGCTTAGTGGTCCCCCTGGTAGGAGATCAATTCCTGTAAACTCAGTCGAAGAGAGTGTTATTTCCAGCAACAGGTCTATAATGAAGTTAAACAAAAATGGGGATAGTGGACAGCCTTGACGGACACCACTTGAGGTTGTAAAATCATATGACAGTTCGCCATAAGCTCTCACTCGACTGATAGTGTTCGAGTAAAGAGCCTTCACAAGGTTTATGTACTTCTCAGGTACACCTTTCAATGACAGACACTGCCACAGAACCTCTCGGTCTACAGAGTCAAATGCTGCTTTCAAGTCAAGAAAAACTATCATTGTCGGACGCCGATAAGCATGTCTGTGCTCTAAAAACCATGAGATTCCCATCCTATAAGTGCATTTTGTGCTTTTCTAGACAGCATCAGTGCCACTCCTTGTGTATGTGGGGCATTTTCTTCTTCATGACCGGAGTATAACAGAAGTTCCCCTGAAGACAGTCGTTGTTGTCCAACCTGCGTCCAATGTGTTTCACTGATTCCAAGCACTTCCAGGTTGTATTTCCTCATTTCCGCAGAAATTTGGAAGACTCTTCCGGTCTCCCACATTGTCCGGACATTCCATGTACCTATAAAAATTGTCGCTCTGGTTGTAAGAAGGTGCATCGGCCTCATGACTTCCGAATGAACTCGGCTTTCATCATGAGACGTCATTTTTCCTTCTACTCCCAGGGCAGAGTTTGAATGGTTTGAATGATTTTTTCTGGTTAGCGTTTTTTTAGCGAGTTGATTTTCTACGGGATGGGGTCGCTAACCCCATGCCCAACCCTCCTCCTTTACCCGGGCTTGGGACCGGCAGTAGCCTATCTATCTAAAGTATCTAACTATCTAAAGTATTACCTATTTACATCCATATCTGACTGATATAACTGGAGAAATTAGACGATGGGTATTATACTGGGACCCATATGATCATGCTGTAATGCTGAAAGAACTATTATATAATCTCTCTCTGGTTCAAACAACTGTTTCCCTCATGTTCCCATAGTAAGATCGGTGACCCACTAACACCGACCAATGAGGAATAAGCAAGAACACTTACTGGCTCTTGAGCTCCTACTAACCTATCATCTAACCAGAAAATAAAGGCAAGAAACAGATCGGTTCTGTATTGTATTTTATTCAATCATGACTCAAATATCATAGAATGATACACCTTAAATGCTTGACAACACGGTAACACGATTAGAGAACTTCGATGTATGCCTAAATTAATCATAAGTGATACGAAACCGGAGTATTAAGGAAATAAATAGTGATAAATATGTAACAGTCAGTCAAACGAAATCTTAGAAATAAGAGAACGTAAAAATACAATAATCCAAGAGTCTATTAAACGTACAGTAAATATACGCATAGTAATCCTCTTTATAATAGTTTCATAAGTTGTATTTACACACTACTCGCCCTAGTATATCACTAACTCAATAGTCAATAGTCGTCCCTATCTTTAAAAAGGGTTCACGTTGTTCCTGTAGCAACTATCGGGGGATAAGTCTACTTTCGATCGCGTCCAAACTATTGGCTTCTATCATTCTTCGTAGGTTGTTTAAAACCCGAGAACGATTGACTCGCGAGGAGCAGGCTGGTTTTCGTTCTGGTCGAGGATGCATTGATCACATCTTCACCCTCCGCCAAATGTTAGAACACCGTCATACTTATCGCAGGCCAACAATCGTAGTGTTTCTTGATATCAGGGCTGCCTTCGATTCGTTGGACAGGACTGTTCTCTGGGATTGTCTATTGAAGAAGGGTGTGCCTGAGAAGTTCATTAACATCTTAAAGGCCCTGTATACGAACACCTCAGGCAGAGTGAGGGCATACAACCACCTTTCTCCCTTGTTCCATTCGATCAGTGGGGTCAGGCAGGGTTGCCCGATCTCACCATTCCTCTTCAACTTTGCCATCGACGACATCCTGGAAACAGCTCTGATGGATGTAAGTAATGGCGGTGTGGATATGTTGCCTGGAGAACGACTTCTCGACCTTGAGTATGCGGATGATATTGTCTTACTGTGCGATAATGCCCAAGGCATGCAATCCGCACTTAATCAGTTGGCAATCAGTGTCCGCAGGTACGGCATGTGCTTTGCACCCTCCAAGTGCAAAGTACTTCTACAAGACTGGCAGGATTCTCATCCTGTACTCACCCTGGATGGTGAGGAGATCGAAGTAGTTGAGAAGTTCGTGTATCTAGGTAGCTATATAAGTGCTGGTGGTGGCGTGAGTGATGAGATTGATGCACGTATAATGAAAGCCAGAGCGGCTTATGCCAATCTGGGCCATCTTTGGCGCCTTCGTGATGTTAGTCTGGCTGTAAAAGGTCGGATCTACAACGCGTCGGTGAGAGCAGTTTTGCTCTATGCTTGTGAAACCTGGCCTCTCCGAGTTGAGGATGTTAGACGTCTCTCTGTGTTCGATCATCGTTGTCTCCGAAGGATTGCTGACATACAGTGGCAACACCATGTTAGTAATGCAGAGGTTCGGTATCGTGTGTTGGGTCGGAGAGACGATAATTCAATTAGTGTCACCATCTTGAAACACCGACTTCGGTGGCTTGGACATGTTTTACGAATGTCGTCCCAGAGACTTCCACGTCGTGCATTATTTGCCGACTCTGGGACTGGTTAGAAAAAGCGGGGAGGAGGTCAGTGTATGACATGGTGTCGTGGCATGAAAGAAAGCTGGAAAGGGCTAGCTTCTGTTGGTCCTTCACGACTCCCTGGCTGGGGTCCGAGAGATGGTGCAACACAGTGGCTAGAGACGTTATCAGATATGGCTCAGAATAGAAGCCAGTGGCGATCCTGCTGTAACCTTCTTTTACTTTCTACATAAAGAGTGGTTCTAACTTTCTTAACTGAAAGAGTCTTCTGGTTGTACATTTCAGCCCGCCTTATCTTTTCATCCTTTATCTTCCTACTTTCATTATTTTGTGTGGCGCATATGTACCTGGTGCCCTTTTGTACCAATATATGTGTTTAAATAAATAAAATAAAATATCACTAACTCAGCATAATTTGTTTGGAATTATTTTCTTGCGTGGGACTTCTGAATTTTAGTTTGAAATCAATATATAATGGTGTTTATTGTTCTGTTAGTCTAAAAACTCTTCTCTGTTTTATCTTTTGTGTTATGAGGGAGCTAATCAAATAGTTATGTCACTTATCAAATCACTGTCTCCATAGCATTGATTACAGTGAAAGAGCTATTAAACAAAGACTGCTCTTGATAATATATTTTATTTTTAATTATCAATTTTCATAAACGAAATTCATTAACATATTATTTTACCACTTTTTCACAGGTTTGGTCTCTTATAATAGTGAAAGTGAGTCAGAATCTGAGCAAAACGTGTTGGAAAGTAAACTACCCACAAATAAGTTATCAGGTATACTACCAGGTGATGTTCCTGATGATATAAAACATGACTATACATCACAGAATAGTCCTAGTAATGAAAGTAAGTTTATTTAATTAATGAGGTAACTTTTTATACTCGTCTGCGAATCCTAGAAACCGTTGATGAAAATCGTTGGACCATGGATGTTTCTGCTGTTTCTGTAAATCTCATACAATTGATCATCTCTCCTGCAACTCCAACACTTAGCTGATGGTGATATTCTTGTCTGTCGACCCTTAATTCATTATGTCGTTACATAACATGTTCGATTGTTTATATATCGCACTACTGTCTCCCATTATTTTGGTAATGAGTGAAATCTTTGAAAAACATTGTCTCAGTCAGTTTTATTTATAATTATACATCTGTAATTTTTATTATCTGGGAAATCATGCCTCTCATTCCTATGCTTCAAATTCAAGTATTAATCAGCTATCGTGGGTCGTGGGTGCAATAAAAATGATTTCAAGTGGGCCTTTTTTTCTTCCTAGGATTGTTTTGCGTAGTTTAGCATTCTATCCAATAAAAATCTAATAACTTAATGTAGTGATCAACTAAGTCAATCACTATGATCGTTGAGTATAGGTTTTTCTGGCTTAATAATGGTCAATGAATTCTGGGAGCATTTAGAGTACTCTGCATATTTTTAGACAGCTTTTTTAATAATTTCATCGACATTTCATTCTACAGCTTAACCAATGCTTTAGTCTATTCATCTTTTCTTTCAAATTGTCACTTAGCACAGGCTTGCTGTGTTTTCGTGAATTCAGTAGATTCAGTCCTCCTAAATTGTAGTACTTTGATGTTAATACTTAATGCTATCAATACTCCAATCACTGATTTAGAAATTCACTTGTTAAAAATAATTGCACACTATGCAGTGCCAAAGTGAAACACCTTTTATTCATCGAGACTAATTAACTTCTTGGTGTCATCACATAAATTGGAGAGTAACTAAGGTGAACATCAGTTTGTCTCTCAGTGTGTATGTTGTCTACTGGTTGTTTCAATGAAATACGTATTTGGCAAAAACTCATGACATATAAAGATACTGTCAATATATATTTATGTTACATAACTTTTTTCTATATTGATTTTGTAATTATGAGCTTGAAATACAGCTGTATGTCACATTCTTTTTATTCCGTATGATTTCTAGTAGATAGGTGTAGCCAACTTTCCTACAAATTTCTATTTCCCTACCTTGAGTGTTATCAGTAGACTACGTTTTTTCCGTTCATATCAACTAATGAAATAAAAAAGCAAAGAAACTGAAAATTCATATTCACATTAGTTACAGTCGATATATACTGGTTCTTCGTTTTTCGAAGTCCTTGTAATTTGTTTTACCTTCCAGATAATAAAATTGTCACTGGAAATGGGAAATTTCAAGCTGTACAAGAAAATTATCATGAAAAGCATTCTTATTCCTCCAGCACTCATCAGAAATCTTCTAAACGCTATAAAAATGAAAAAGAAACGGATATGGCCGTCACAATTTCTCGTTCGCGTTCCAAACATTCACATAAAAGGAGAACAAATTCACGGCATTCGCATCGCAGTCGTAAAAGAGATTCTCGTGGTTCGTCAACAGCTTCTTCAGAATCTTCAAGTTCTAATCATGGGAACCAAAAAGTAGGATTCTCTCGATTCAGTCGATCCTCAGCGGACCACATTAAAAGTGTTCGGTCACCAAGACATTATTTTGCCAAGTCCAGTCATTCGAAACATTCTCATCATAAAAGTCACCATTAGATTTGTACACTTTCCTGTATTAAGTGTTAACCTGTCTTCGGTTTGCACTTATAATCCTTAGTTCACAAGTGAGATTTCAGACAGGTAATTTTATCATTTGGTAAGTGAATTTAATGACTTTCAAATCAAATCTATTTTCTGATGATTGACTTATCAATAGTAACATGTTATTTCATTCATCTTGTTTCGGCAGTACAAAGTTACTGCATTCACTGTAAGATACAGTGAATCTGAATTTAATATATCAACCCACAGTACGCACTTTTGGAAAGCAAGTTTATACTCTTCATTTTGGGTCGGCATACAATAATTATTCATATTTATGGTGTTTGTTATTTGGTTCAGAAGAAATGTTTAAGTCCTAGACACATCTATTTTTTTGTTACAGATTTTACACTCGTTATTGTCCTATTCATTTTCATCTTTTCAACTGTCTCCTTGACAATTTTGTTTCCAATAATTTCTTGCAAATGTTCTCAATAACAGCAAACGAACTGATGATCTCCTACGGGACTTCGTGTTCCGGTATTGAATAATGTTACTACTATAATTAGGCAGAGTACTGTACACAGAAGCCAGTTTACTAATCAAATCTTTCTCATACAGTTACTCTCACGTTTATCTGTCTATTTTCCCTATCATTATTCTGTTCAACTTATTGACAATATTTCAAGTAAATCTTAAAATAGAGTATCTATTTTTTGAAATTTATTAATTTCAACCTTCTTTCAGTCAGTAATTTGCGTTCCCTATTTATCGTCGAATTTGTCTTTACTTTTCAGGTATGGAAATATTCGGTTTCCCAACAACACAACTGTTCATATGATCTTAATTTCTTTTTCATATAAATATGTGTACAAAGTACCAATCATTTGTCTACTTAAAAATAATCTACTACCAGTCTCCGTCTTATTCTTTGTCTTATTGATTGTGCTAGCTTCAGCCGTAATGTATATATGTGATTAATATCGCTTTTCGAGTACTAGTTAGCTTTGAAAGTGTACAAATTCAATTCACCTGTTATTCACACAGACCGTCTATGGAGCGTAATGTATAATCATATTTGATAATTATTGACGATTCATCAATTTCCAGAATTCGGTCATAGGCTCGTATATTAAGTTGTTGCTGATTAAGTCCTTGGAATTGCGGTTCAGCTCCCCTTGTAATTATAAAATTTTAAGGAGACAAATGCTTGTTTCTTTTTTTGTGGTATCCTAACATTTCTTGAGTTTTTGTATGAATAGAAAGGTTCGAGTAGATGAAAAAACGTTTTATAAAACTGAAACAAGTTGCATAAACTTATGAAACTTACTTACGCCTGTTACCCCTCGTCGAGGAGCATAGGCCGCTCACCAGCATTCTCCATCCAACTCTGTCCTGAGCCTTCCTTTCCAGTTGCTATTCAGCCTTTTCATATCGGCTTCTATTTCCCGGCGTAGTGAGTTCTTTGGCCTTTCTCTTTTCCGCTTCCCTTCCGGATTCCAAGTTAGGGATTGAGTCGTGATGCACATTGGTGATTTCCTTAATGTATGTCCGATCCACTTCCAACGTCTTTTCCTAATTTCCTCTTCAGCTGGAAGCTGGTTTGTCCTCTCCCATAAAATGCTGTTGCTGATAGTATCCGGCCAATGAATGTTGAGTTTTTTGCGTAAACAACTGTTTATAAATACTTGTACCTTCCTGATGATGGCCGTAGTAGTTCTCCACGTTTCATCTCCATACAGTAGGACTGTCTTGACGTTCGTATTAAAGATTCTGACCTTGAAATTGGTTGAGAGTTGTTTTGAGTTCCTTACGAAAGTTCGTACGAAATTAATCTAATTGACTATAGATTTCTGAAACTACTAGAATAACTGTATAGAAATGATTCATACTCATAAGATCAAATCATTTAGTTGTATTATGTGCTTAGTGTTCAGAAAATAAGGTACACAAATAGTGATCTTAGTTTCTATTTGTTATGAAAATTGCTACAGATTGCCAAATAAATAGATACATTACCAAATAATGAATGAAATGCAATGATATGTGTGGCCAAATGATCCCTTCTTATGTGACCAAACACTAACATTAATCTTTTTATGCACTAATGTTACAAAAAGTCTTCAAGACAAAAAAACAGGTTATTTTATAGTGAAGTTACATGTTATGTATAGTTATGTAAAATTGTGTAAGAAATAATACTCTTACAATAATCGGATTATACTTCTCAGAAAGTAATTTGTATTCAATAACCAAATTTTGACATCTGTCTTACGGTCTAATGTTAACAAATACATTATAGTGTGTCCATTTGTTATAGTTCTAGATCACTGTTCGGAATAGTCTTTAGTGTTGACGAACTTGTTTCATCATTTGATGACAAATTGTGACTTGGTCGCTAATTAGATGACAAACTAACATCCTGCCATTGTTTTGATCATTCTGAACTCGCCACATTAAAGTTTTTCTAGGGACTGACGTTCTTCATATGAACTAAAAAACCGTGAAACAACATTAGCCAAAGGATCAACAACGAAATAGTTCTTCTGAAGCACAGTCAAATGAGTGGCTTCGTTTATCGTGAAACGAATCCTTGGTTCCGGGATCTTTAACTGTTAAATGTATATACGTCCTACTTGCTGGTTGTTGCAGTCATACACCAATCAAGCTTGAATTAGATAAGGTTATCGAAATAGTCCTACAGTGTTGTTGCTTAGTCGATAGCCAAACTTAAAATTTAGTAGACTTGATTACTAGATAAAGCCGTAAGAGTCACGTTGCTCTCGAACGAGTCCGTAAATCCAAGCTAAACCGTACATGTTGACGGTCGGTTCATATCCGTCAGTAATTGACACTAAATTTCATCACTCAGTGGAGGTCGACGTCTTTCAAACAAGATGTGATAAATGAGGTTGATTTTTCCTACATATGACTATGAACAGCTTAGGTTTTTAATGGCCCGGGATCTGATTCCAAGTAGATCCTATGAATGATTACTGTCGAAATATACATCCTTACTATTGTATATTTCATCGACTTAATCCGCGTTGGAGAATATAACCGAATTAAATAGACTGAATAGGAGAAAGGATTTTGAATGTGTATTCTTCATGCACTCAGTGATTTGAAAAGACAATCAGAAGGATGAGGAGAAAAGAGCGAAGCGAGATAACGCGGTGAAGAAGGCATTTGAGTCAACTTCTTTTAATCAATTTTTATAGTTCGGTAGAAATAGGTTACAGACAGAATATGTACACTCACACGTTCATATAAAGACAGTCAAGGTTGATGATTTAATAATTAACGAGGTCAAAATATGACTCAAGAGGAATGGGTGGATTGGCCTGTCCAGAAAATAGAAAGTCCGATGAACTTAACATAGTAACTGACACAAGTTAAATAAATGTGGATTATCCTCATTCGATACTGCAATTACGGATTCTTTTGTGCATTCGGCGAAGTAGTTTACTACGGTAATTTCCTGAAACACGTCAATGGTGCTGAAGTATTGACCAGTCGTAGTATGTCTCAAGTCAGTATTGGCGTATTATTCGAAATTAGCTTCTATGCATGAGAATATTTTGGTGTCTGGATGTTCGCTGTGTTTCAAAGGTTTCGAAATCCCTACAAATATTGTCGGGATAATATTAAGTTGTATATACTACCAATGTATTACAGACCAGAATCAGAAAGGCCGTCTACGCATTAAGTTCCTTACAACGATTATCACTAAATAGACGCAATATTCGTACTGACATGGTCTTCATTGTTTGGTTTACCACAATGGCAGTACATCCCCGTAGTATTGCTAATTTGTGAGTAACAAAACTGAATAGAGATGCTTGGTTTTTTAAAACCAAAGTGACTTTTCTGTTTTCCTATTTTAGTTGCTAGCGGGCATTACTGCAGTCAAATTATTCGTCAAAATGACCTGGGCAGATGCAAAATCGATTAGTTGTTTTATATACATCATTCTGACTACGATTTGATTTTGCTCACAACACCAATGACGGCCAGTAAGCACTGAAAAGCTTTCGTTTTCAGAATGGGTCGTGCATATTTACGTCTCGCGTTCATGCATCAGATCTAATATCCTAGGTCTAATCTCCTGTAATAGGGTCGTGTACGAGAATTGCTAAGCAGTCACTTACTGGAGCGAAACAACTGTGCAGTGCTTTCTGGCTCCATAGCGGTGGTCTGGCTGAGATCGTTTCGCGATCTGTACTACGAAAATTTTGTAGTTATCAAGATCTCTTCTGCACTAAGAATAATAATTTGTAAGACTTATTTTGCATATCCTTGACTGTTTGTTAGTCATGAAAACTAGGTCAATTTCTTTTCTAATTGAATATATAAACAATTGCAGCTTGTTTCGAATCGTCTCCACCTAGGTGACTTGACTATTCTGTCTGTCTAGGTTTGCTGATCGTAGGAAATATGCGTTTTCATGACCTGCAAAAGACTTTTATTCTTTACGGCACTAGTCGATAGAAGCGTTGCGAGGAAGTATATTACGTGCTTCTTTGTAGTCTTATCAAATCCTAAAAGCTCATTAAGAAATATGTAACAAGTTTGAGTCACCTAAGGTGATCATCTGATAGCGAAACCATTAGACAAAACTCGGGATGCTGTATTAATATTATTAAGTTCTTATTGAATAGTGTCCCAACTAAATGGATTCGAATAGCCTTATTCTCTGTAAAAATTTTAAGGAAAATATGTCAAAATAGTTTGAAAATGAATGTAAATCATTCTTGTACAGAAATCTTTAAAGAATAATTTTTATTAGTGACTTCACAAAAAATTTGTGGAACTGGGTTTGTTGGCAGCAGCTTCACATAAAGGAAATTGAAAGATATTAAGTTATTGGTTGTACAAAAATAGACGATACATAAAATGAAATCTACAAACAAATGTACACAGGTCATAAACTAATTATTTATTTGAGCACATCAAACTCATCTTCTTCAAATGCTTTGCGTGCACGTCGGAGTTCTTCACTGAGCAAGAGCAACTCTTTAACTCGAGAGAATTTCTTAGGATCACGTCGGACTAGATAAGTAACATCTTCAACAGAGATTTTTCCTGGTTTACCAATTTTTAATGCTTTTCTAGTCTAAATTTATCAGGAAGAGTTTTTGCAAAAAAAAATAAACTATCGTGTGAAAATTTTAGAAATTATTGCAAAAAATAAAATTTGCGAAATGTCAGTGTACAAATCTATCAGACAGTAAAACTCGAGAAATTAGTGCGAAAACCAAATTTACCTTCTGATTTCAGTGTTCTTACCATCAGTGTATCTATGGAGGTGACATTAAATTGCTTGTGACGAAATATCAATGAATCCTTACCTTATACTGACCCGTTTTATGCAAACTTATTCTGCTAATATTCACAAAAACCACCCTTATCATAAGTTTTATTTAATTCCCTGAACCCAGTAAGTTCAAGGTACAATCATTTGAGAGTTGACTGCTTTTATTATTAAATGTTTGTAAAGGACATAGATGATCATGTTACTTTGATCATTTGATTATAAAGAAATAATACAAAGTTTTAATAGAGTACCGCTCAGTACAGTGCATTCTTAAGCACCAACTCTTTCTGTGCATCTTGTTTGGGTACATGCCACGTGTATCTGACTTCATGAACAATACATACATACACTAATTCATTATCTACAAAAATTTCTTAAACCTGACAGCGATATACTGATAACGACTGAATGCGCCATAACAAAAACCTAATTCGTTGAGTGGTGAGGGTTTTTATTTCAACGCGAATAACAGGTCGCCATTTCGTATCGGACAATCAAACTATTCAAGAAGAAAATATTTCAAACCGTTCCCGGTGCATGCTAACACTGAAAACTTGAAAAAATGCACAAAACGAAACTACTATCGACATCGCGTGTTCAGGTTTTTCGCGATCGATTTATATCATTAATATGTATGTGGTAATTTTACAACCACTTTTAAAAATAAACATGTTGATAAAATTAATTGAAAAGCTATACACATGAACAATAAAAAGTCGACTTGATACATGAGAACGAAGATTTTGAAGTCAGGAGGATAATTACGACTTGTTACGTAGCTAATATCTGTTAATTATGTACTTTCTCGAAACACATAAACCTTATCATATCAATACTTTTACATCTTCAAAAAAATGATACTATAGGCATGAGTTCTCAAATACTTTGTCGCGTATGCTGCGAATTTTCTCGGGTTTCGACAACACACCACCGCTTTTCTTGATCCTTACAATTCACTTTACGTTACTACATGCAAAGAAAATAGCTCATTTAAATGTACATTAGAAAATAATCAGCAGAAACCTGATAATGAACCATAACGTTGTAAATTGAAAGTACAAAAACTCAAAATTAAGTTAAGTGTATTTAAAAAGTTTTATTTTCCACTGAAATGTGACAGTCAATGTTGCTTACCATTTCTATAATATGTCGAACTGCCATATCTTCAACTAAGGAAACTGTTTCAGGCAATGGATTTTCATCATCTCCAAAAGCATACAACATTGAACGTACTAAAACAGAAATAAATTAAATCAGTATTAACAGAAAAACAAATATTACTTTCACGAGAAAACATTCGCTTCTTTCCACGATCATATGTTGAGTCTTGTTCTTCTTCATCCTCCAGCAGCTGAAAAACATTACGATGCGGTTTTAATATTCGACAATACTAGAATAAATATAAATCCTGTGGTAAAACTTTCACCTTGTTTTATGACACATTAGTGTTAAATTTCTTTCAAGATCATAGTTATTTTTATTTGAGTTCTTAACTTTCCATAAGATTATATAAAAAGGTGATTAAGATATTATGGACATCGATAAGAAATTATTAGTACAATTTTCATACAGACGTTCACAATTAGTACATGGATTTAAAAGTAGAATAGGCGAAACCGGTAGTTTGTTACCATGATTTATGTACAACGAGATAGTGATTGTAAACGCCTTAAAAAAAAGCCGTTTCAACAACATCTAAGTAAAATCCAGAGTTCTTTAAATATTAACACAAGGGAATTGCTTACTAATTAGTAAGCCATTGAGGTCAAATTATTCTACAGTTCGATTTTATCTTGAGCAGCTAAATAATACGAACCAAAAGTACTATTTTTTTCCTAGATAAAAAAATTTTGAAAGATGAATCCATGTTAAGAACATCAATTGTACAGAAATATACCACAACTCACACTTGAAGTAAACTCAAGAACACTCATTTAACCTAAAAAAAAGAAAAGCATAAAAGTAGAGAATACAATGAAAATCAAATTTTATAAAATACGTCAAGGAAATCCAACTGATTTAAAGAAAAAGACTTGCAACTTTGAGTAGTAAATTTTTGAATTAACATGATGAGGGTAAGTTGTGAATAATACCGTTTGTGATCGCATACACTATTGCATCTGCAAGAACGAGCAAATTTTGATACGAATTCATTATGACAATTACATTTCCATTACACAGGATATAGTCGAAACGCTAATATTTTACCTGAATTAAATATCCAACTGAAAATAGCTAAAAGCTTACAAATTAGTACAGGACAAATGTGCAATAAAATCACTCCATAGAAAAACTAGTTTAACTATTCAACACAGCATCGAGAGGAGCGTAACGTTAAAACACCAATAAAATACCTCACATAATAACGATCTCTTCTAAACATTTTATTACAAAGGGGATTATTTAACTAATCTATTATAATTTCACTTTCAGGATTAATTACGCGTAACACTATTAATGGTATATTTAAATTGTCCAGAAACTTATTTATTGGAAAAATACAATATGGAATATGCTACTCTGTAAATCAACGAATATAATAATCATATAAATGTAATTTGTGAATGCTAGAAGTGGTGTTTCGAAAATTCAGTATTATATTGCTTTATGAAAACTCCAGTCAAAAGAAGTTTCAATTTTCCCGATATAAATGAATTAAACTTTTATATGATCATTGATAGAAACAATAAGGCTCGAAACTTTTGAAAGAACTTTAGAAGTATCACTTTAACAAGGTACTTTTGCCAATTATAGTAGTTAGACTCTGTGAGACATCTGTGTATCAACATGTTGATATTTACATTACCGTTTGTTAATCAGACAAATGTTTCAAAGCTAAATAAACAGCATTCGAAGTAGCATCATCAATATTCTTCATCTTATTACAACCAAGTCAACCAAATATATTATCAGGTATATTGAACCACGACGTTACACTAACTCAAGGTTTGGATTAGTAAAATTACGATCGGTGTATTACATAAGCCAGCAGTTCAAGAGTAAAGTTATGACTGATATTATTATCGACAAAAATTATATATAATCTGAAACTATAAGAAACGAAATACCATTTCATTAAGAATGTACTTTGTTTTAAAATTTCAAGAAAAAAGACAGGAGAACGCGGTAATATTTTATTTTGAATTATATTTTACACACACTGAGCTACATTTGAATAAAAAAGATGAGGTAAGAATCACAGTTCAGCTACTAGAAAGTACAAGATAAAAGATGTGTGAAGTCAGAAGTGCACACGCAAAGATAGAAACATAAACAAATCTTAAACAGATTGGATTCGGATTATCACATAGCTGCACAATAATATATGACCACTTTCGTATGGAATACACATAGATAATGAATAATTAGTAAGACACTGTTATAAATCAACTGATATTTGAACCAATTATGAAGCACACGTCATGGTAACAGCGCCATAAACATTTAAATAGTCGCAGACACAGTCATATACAAGAAAGCAGTTAGATATCAAACAAAAAAATAATTAAACACACAATTAAGGGGTAGCATCATAAGACCAATAATTTTTGATAATCTTACTACTAATCCAACAAGTTCGTAAACCACATTTCCATATTATTATCCATGAGTAAAAAGATTAATAATAATAATAGCATCAATAATGGCTATTATAGCGGATAAAGAAACTTTAAATGACCGGTAACTTGTCTACAAACTGACGACCTTAAAACAGTCATAATTATTTATGTTAATGATAAAATCAATGGGTCAAAAAACCCATTTGTTAAGTCTCTGGTAATTAACAGACGTTTAATAAAACAAATGGCATTTAAAATAATAAAGGCACGTAGTTATTTGAATAAAGCATAGAACAACAGTAACAAATACGAATGAAGGTGAACACAAAAAACCATGTTCCAAAAGGTTAGTAAAGACGAACAAAACAAGAGACTGATACAAATGAATGAAGGAAGATAATTACATTGACTCCAAAATGCATTCATGACTTCAGATACCTGAAACAAATAAGTATTATAAGCACTGATATATATAAAGCTCATAAAAATCTTAATCTGAAACAACAACCACTACACATAAGAATTAAAGCAACAATCTAAATAAATATGGTCACACAACCATCGAAATACACTGTAAGATTAAAATAAAGTAATCATATAGTATATCGGTAAGAACACTGAACGTTTGAACGGTAAACCTTCAACCGGAGTTTATATTAAATTTTATTTCAATACTTGTATTCCAAATAATATTGGCTTTTTTAAACTTTCGATTATTCCATTATGAACTGCGCCAAAGTTGTATTATTAAGGTAAAATGTATCAAGATTTATAAATTATACTGACTATTCTTACTATGATAATGTTGTTCTCGTAAGCGGTTGAGAATACGAGGCGTTGATGACGTGAAAGCAGCTTTCTAGTACTCTATGAAATTCATCAACTAACTTTAACTCATAAATAACCGAATATCCAAATGTTCTTCGGACAATGAGATTTATTAACTACTAAAATCCTGAACAAATTTCAGATGTCTCTATTCACCTGTAAATGCTGAAGTTTTAGAAAATATAGGTGAGTTTAATGTCGAATCCAAACAGTTAGTATTATTATTCAGTTCATTTATTTGCATGAAGAAATTCATTGATTAATGTAGTGGATTCAATGTTAAAAGCATAACTATTCTTTAATTGGTATCAAACGTATACTAGCATATAACCATGTATATTTTGTAGTATAAAATATTGTTTTACACAAAAACTGCATACTTGGCTGCCCAATCTGTTCTAGAACTCGGATTTGAATGAAAAGGAAAAGGCGCTCTCGCTGAAGGACGGAAACAACCGATTCTATTTCCAGATAAAAATCCGACTCCAGATACTTCTATATGACTGCGAAAATGACAAACATTTTGACCTTGACTGTTTTCTATGTCCGGATTAGAAGTTTTTACTAAATTACCTGGATAGAAAAAATGATATATATATAACCAGATTTATAATTGGAATGTTTACATAACAGTCACTATCATAGGAGCGAAATACAGCATGTAAGAGACCAGAATTAAACCGACTTGCATAGATTTAACTTGTAAACTATGCACAAACAGATAACATTATCAATAAATCTGAATGTTGACGTGAATATTCAATCGATTCGTTCGTCTGTATTAGATTATTTAAAAAACCTAAATACTAACCATGATTTATTGAGGGTTTCAGATTATTTATTTAAAAAAGGATGACTATTTGCTTCGATAAAAACTGTCTGTTCGGAAAACTAATATGACATTATTCCTGGATATGTAATAAAAAGGTGAAGCTGAATAAGTGGTTTTAAAATTGTTTTGTTGATGAGTTCAACAGAAATATTTAAGAGAATAATTCTTTTGTAGTACAACCAGACTAATGTAAACCTGGGAGGAGAAAGGAAAAGAAAATGGATGACAAACAATAGAATGTAAGCACACGAAATAGTAAATTTGTTTAATTTGTGTAAAGCAAGTAAATTCACTTCGTTTAAGACCTTTCTGCTCTAAACTTAAGAACTCAAAACACATAAAATCGAAAGATAGGATACAAAGCTTTAGAGGTATGCAATACCTGGAATATAGTTTTCAGTGTTATAATCATTTGTGATAGTTCAGTGAGGATTTCCCAGCAATAAAAACATGTTTGTTCATTAAACAAGTTACAGAGTGAGGAGTTTAATTCTATGGATTTGCCTAATTAAAAGTACTAGTAACATGGACAAGTACTGAGAAAATTACTTACGGTAGATGTACGGCTCAATAAAATCTAAATAACAAGATTTAACAAGAAAAATAACTCGAACTAACACTTAATATAACGAATTATCAACATTACGCTAAATGATTTCGTTGTAGTTTGTGGATTCCTATTTCAATTATTCGTTGATAAACAGTGTTTGAAACAAGTGAAACGTATAATACGGAATTTTACAGAATGACATTGATAATTAACTGCATATTTCCACAATCAGAGTGCTTGAGATACGAAAATGATTAAGCAAGGAATGATAAAGACAAATAATGTAATCATTTGTGTAAGCAAACTGTTTCATTATGATTAAAATCAAATTATCTAACAAGTAGAATTTAACTATTCAACTGAACAAACATTTCAAGTTACCTTTCTTTGTATCATATAACGTCTTACTAGCACTTTTAGACAGTGATTTAGGATCCATTTGTGTACTGTTGTTATTTATGGACCACGGAAATAAAACAGTATCGCTTAAATGATGAATTTTATTTTGCATCATGGTTAGACCATTATTAACATTCGTTGAGTTAAATAAATTACCAACAGAGTTGGGTATATCGCCTAAAAGAACATGATGAAAAGCTTAGAAGCAACCATTACTGGGTATCAAAAAAAAGATAATTAAACAACCATAGGAAAAAATAAGGGTACTTTTAAAAATAAAGAAATGAAGTTCAATGACTAATATATTGTTTGATTACAAATACTCCAAAGCTAGGTATTACGTCTGGCCGATTGTGCACGCTATATTTGCTTCCATGAGCTAGTCCAGTATCCCTGAGCTAGAACTATACACCAACTCGAAGACCACAGAAAAGGCACAAAGTATGAGGAAAGCGCTTTACTACAGAATTCATTCAAGTACAGAAAATACAGGGGTTTTATAGTAATTAAGAGACCTTGAGTTTCCATAGTAGCAGTGTGTTAAACAGCCAATCAGGATCTCGTTATTTTAGTAGCATAGCTTCTAACTAATTGCTGATTGGTTGGGGCTCTTTATGAGCCTCTGGAGGCTCTGATAGAGTTTACTGTAAGCCGACTTAACACTAGGCAATATCACTTCAAGGGTAACTGAGTCTGAGTATCTTTAGTATGTTCTCTCACTCATTTAAAGAAGGTGGATCTAAGAAAGCAAAGAAGCTGAAAGATGAATTATTGAAACATGTTTATACGCGTAAATGAACATAATTTTTTGAAGTGAACTATCATACGAATAAAATTAACAAATTCTAATCGTCATTGCAATGCGATCACCGAAAACATCAACATGCAAATGATAATAGTCAGTATAACATACATTAGAAAATATCGGACAGTAAACTAATTTGGTGAATAAAATATATGAACCTAAATATGAGATGGAATTATTAGCTAATTTCCTTACTTTGAAATTTCATTTTATCGAGGGGTAAACCAGTTTTTAAACCGTTAAAATGTCAGAAAAGATATCGCAATAGTATTAAAACAGCATTTCCTAGTTTTTTTTTATTTAAAATCTGGCAAGTAGCAAAAACCACACAATAAATCTAACTTAAATATGCAGCTATAAAACTCACGTGTATTATTTATATATGAATGAGCTGGATAGTCGACATAAGTTTGCACTGATGGATGATTCTCTTTATGACTGTCCGTTGGATGCTGCACTAACTTATCCAACGTTGGTAAAGTACATTGTGGCTTTTTTGATTTGTTATTAAGAGGTCCTGGAAAGTAACGTGCCTTCGACTTATAAAATGACGCAGCCGACGTTATACTACTAAGGTTCCCATTTGAGGGGATAAGCTGATTAGACGGTGGAATAAGAGGTCTTGTTGTGGTTGTACAACTAAACAATTTAGAGGAAAGAAACTGAATGAACAATAAACTGCCAAATGGATTAAAAAGGGATTTTATTGAAGAGTAATACAGCTACAATGGTGCGACAGGTAATAACAAAGTAACTGGAATAGAATTATGATAATAGGACATATTACCATTCCTTGATTCCTTTAGATGAACACAGGAATTACGGTTTCAATGTTTCAGTGAAAATACGTATTACTACTAAACAACAGATATATATATATATATATTCATCACATCTATACTGGTGATGATTTTCTGTGAATGTCATTTTGTAACAGTAACTACCCATGCTAGGTCTTGTTTTAATTTAGTTACACGGTAATAAAATATCTATAGTTAAATTTTTTTACAATAATGAAATCTTAAGTTCATCTATTTCCTTGGGAATAATGAAATTAACCTTAGAATTAGATCTGCTATCTTTTATTGCCTTCAGATTAATTTTAAATTCCCAGCATACCGCACAGAATGCATACGCGACAGCAGTAGTATCATATAACTTGGGAAGATTTAGTGGTGAGAAACTCAGCCTCAACTATATTAACACAGTGATTTATCATTAAGTTGTTACTACTACATAGTAAACTACGTCGTTACTAGCTGGTGAACACCAGCACATGCTATAATATTTACAAACTTATAGACGATTCCCCTACCGGATGTTGCGACTTGTAGTTAGCAGCAAGAATAAATATTTAGTATTGATAGCTATTTATCCAGAAAGATAACTGGTCTAGTAGAGAGTTGAGAATGAGTGCTAGTTATTCATACACATAATAACAGCTCAATTTCGTAAAACAAGGTAGATCAAACAACGAATGATCGAAAATTCTTCATTCCTTGCATTAATATGTCAATTTAATTCCTAAAAACTCAGTCAAATGAAAATATCGAGAATCTTATGGTAGTTTATACTATCATCAGTTAGTAAATTTAAAAGGCATGTTACAAAAGGAGTACAACATAGCACTTGGTTATATGATGAGAAAAGTGATGCCTGATGCTTCATAACATTATGAATCTAAAAATTATTAGTTTATTAACAAATTTCCATAAGTTTTGGGAGAAAACCACTTGACCAGGTGAGAACAAAGTGACTGGCTTACTTTAGTAGTTCGTCGATATCTATAGAATCTCGTTTCTGGGTACTGAGAATATTATTATCGGGATGATCAGTTAATCGAGAACCATATCGTTGTTTTACTTCTTTTGTTAAATTACAATCATTTAAAATCGGTGGAAACTGCTTAGTGAATTTAAATGTTGATAAAGAGATTTTGTCTAACGCAGTCGCATTCTTCCGAAAATACATACGGCAAGTGGAGTTTTCGTCTTGCTGTCGAAGAAGTAATTGTGAAGAAATAGTAAATACTCTATCATGAACAATAAAACAGATGATGTATAGATATTTATCTGTGACAGTAAATTTAATGCAACTATGTTGGTACATTTCTCTTGAGCTACACTAAATAATTGAATCGAAATACAGACTGCATCCAATAAACTACAGCAAATCAGTGTAAGGAAATGTAAAAAACAGCAGTGTGTACGGTAGGCATAATTAGTGGAACGACGATCTAATAAGCAAGAAAATTTCAAACAAATGATATACTGTGTCAAAGCCACATGCCATGTCAGGGATGATTGTGGATGGGTTATCGTAATTATCAACCACTTACTTAGTTAAAGTTACAGCTCATATATCCTTGTCTTAGTCAGTACAGAAACACATATATACGCATGGGTCACAAGTATAGTTATTGAGCCTTGACAATCAGGCCTCACTCGTAGTTATGATCTTCTTCCTCTTTACTTCCGGTTGAGAAAATGTTAAAAGTACGTATTGACTGAATTAAAACACAAAAAACATGTCTGACAATAAATATCTATCAGTCATAAACAATTTCGCACTAATATGAATTTAAAATCTTCTTTTGGAGTTTGATTGTTATGTGACATTTTTACTCAATATTCTACTTATACAAAGAAGGCAAGAAGCGTTTTAAAATTAAATCTATCAATAATTAGCAAGCATTAAAATCTTGAAAACTATGGCTTAGTACTTTCTGTTCTCTTTTTATTTTCTGTTATTTTATTATTGATTTAAGCACATAAATATTGGTACAAAGGGGAACCAGATAAATATGTGCCACACAAATCCCATTTGATTTGTGTGAGGGCTATGATAGTGCCCAAACTGAAGCAGGTGGTTTTCTTAGGGGGCCACACCCGGAGCCTTTGACCCAAAAGTCTGATCCACAAGGCAGTGGAGCATCGTGAGGAGATGCAGTCCCATGGTAGACCAACGATTGATTCATACTCCATTTGTTCCCTCAGGATACTGGAACCCATGTGCATCATTCGTTTGGAATCAGTGTTCTCCAACTCCCCTAGGTGGACTTTCCGTGTCCACCAACCCGGTTAAAGCGCCGGACATTCGCTGTAAATTCTAGATTTATTTAATAAGAAATGATAGTGCGAGAGACATATTGACAAGCAATAATTCATTGCTAATCCATTTATTTAACCACTGTATCAAATAATATTTTTTTCTATTAGTAAAATTTTAATTTAATATATCTTTAACCGCATTACTGTTAGCGGGACATAGATTGGTTTAAAACATGTTCCATGAACGATTGAGTTGGTGCACGCTGATTGGCCAATACTTGTCCAATCAGCGCTAGTCGATACTTGAAGAAGACTCCAGAATCTTATCATGTAAAAACTATAAATATACTAACGCATTTCTTATGGTGCTTCTTACTTCAATCTACCCTTGTTATTCGGAATATAATTTCTTGCATGTTCAACTGTATTCTGATTTCGGGACTTGTTGAGTGAATTGGTGTCCAAGAATACTAAGCTATAGGAATAAGAAAAATTATAACAGTGGCGACGTGGAAAAGGGGGAATACATTCGGCATGCTGATATCACATGACCAGCTCAACCAAATACTACAACAACAGTAAGCACAACTTGATGCAAAATGCGGTTGTTGGAGACTCTGACGCAACAGTTTAACATCCATTACTCGAGTTCACATGCTATTTCAAGTACTTTTTGTGATGTAGTTGCTAGCAGCATCCCAGAATTCATCTATGACTCTGAAAGTGGAAATATCTTTCTCACGTGGATCAAGCATTGGGAAGATACATTCAGAATAGAATTATGTAAACAAGATGATGCATGGGAGACTCCATTGTTGATGCGTAAGTTAGGAAGCAATGAACATGCACGTTATGCTGACCATAAATTGCCAAAGTTACCTCGAGAGCTCAGTTTCTGGGAGACAGTGACAGAGATATTGGGTGAATCCTCCTCGTTATCAGTGTCTAAATTTGACGAAACGCGAAGCCGATGAAAATAGTGCTCTAGTAGACGTCGTCAACAGAGTGTGAACGGTCCAAGTTACGCTCGTTGACAGCAAACCAATTTAAATGCCTAATATTCATCAAAGCTCTTCAGTCACCACAAGATGCTGAGATTAGGACTAGACTTTTAGCTCGCCTGGATCAAGACCCAAATGTCACACTCAGGACATAGACAAACGAATGTAAACGACTACAAAACATCAGATACGACAATCAGCTAATTGAACAGGTAAATCCTAATTTAACCTGCAGTAGTGTCAATGCTATTACTAAGTTAAAAGTTCAGAAGCTAAAGAAAACTCGTACCAAACCAACGACTGCCTGTTGGTTATGCGGTGATTGTCATTATGTACGATTCAGTCCATTTAAGAAGCATAAGTGTCAGGTGTGCAGCAGACGTGGAAATAAATAGGACCATTGTTCATCGAATCGTTCGTCCAAGCCCAAGAAGAAGTATAAACGTCCTCGACACGTGGTAAAATCAGCCGAGTCTAAATCTCTTTCTCTGGTAGCAGCTTTTCAAACAGACTATGACATTTGGAGGAAGTATGTTACTATCCAGATAAACAGCATTTTAGCTCGTCTTCAAATTGACACGGCATTAGATATCACCCTAATATCCAGGGACACGTTTAACTTGCTGGGAAACCGCCACTGAAGCCATCGAGGAAAACGGCCGAAAAGACATCAGGAGGTGTACTAAAACTAGTTGGTGAATTACATTGAGAATTTTCCTACAATGGAACTAACTGTAAAGAAACATACTATCTGACTGAACGGCCAAACCTTGATCTCCTTGGTCCAGATATTTTAGAAAGACTTGGAATAATTGATATATAATTATTAACAATGTCTGCAATGTGTCGTGTTCATCGTTGGACACCCCGATACTTGCGAAAATGCCTGGTGCAAGGTTGCCATGGCAGCGTATACACTTGGACTTTATTGATACACTTCAGGGACGAACTTACCTTCTGGTAGTTGATGCATACAGCAAGTGGCCAGATGTTTTTCTCATGGAACATCCAATTGCAAGTTGCACAGTCAAAAAGCTACGTCAACTATTCAGTCGTTTCGGGGTCCCAGAATTGATAGTTAGCGACAATGGAACACAGTTTACGTCCGCCATCTTCTCAGAATTTTGTCGGCACGACAGAACACCTCCATTCCATCCCCAATCCAATGTTCAAGTGGAACGCTTTGTTAGTACATTTGAAAATGTTCTGAAAAAATCTAAGGGGAGGGTACCATCGAAAAGATCTAAGAGAGGTTCCTGTTTATTTATCACTCTACACCGAACCCTCAGACGATTAACGGGGTCTCTTCAGCAGAAGCTTTACTTGGCAGAAAAATACGAACACATTTAGATGTCATCCATCCGAAGGCCGGCTTTTGAGCCTCAAAGAAACGTATCGATGGAGTTCAATCGACATCATGGGGTACAAAAACGATTGTTCACGGTGGGTCAACAATTACTTGCTATGGACTATCGTGGAAAACATCCTACATGGACAGCTTGCCGGATCGTGCAAAAGAAAGGGAATGTGGTTTATGAGGTGTCAGTTGGCTCAGAAGTTTGGGCACGTTATGCTAATCAATGGAAAGCAACTTCGATAGCCAGCAACGAGACTCGACATTGAATACCTCTTGACATTTTTCCTTTAAGTCTTTCTATGACAAGTAGGTGTCACTAAGGGAACAGTAAGACTAAAAGCATCAAACTCATGATCAGAGGGCGAAGTCGTAATGAGATTTAATTGTATTGGATTGATCCAAACTCAAGAATGTATTTGAACAAACACTGATTTACGAAATTGATGCTGTACATGTATGAACGATAAAGCCGAAGAAACCTATCATTTCATTGAACATAAAAATGATGCCATGCGACAAGGATAATAGTTACCTTCGTCACATAGTGAGTTGACTTAATGTTATTGTATTTTTACTCATGCAATAGAAACTTAGTATGGAAGAACAGAATAATTACATTGTCTTTCGTTGCAGTCATTTTCTTTGAAGGCGGTTTTAAATCTGATTGGTCAGAGTCGAAATTATCAAATAAACTATCAGTTTCTAAGACTGGCCAACGTCGACGTCCCGAATTTTTCCGTTTCGATACTAAAGCACCCTATCAAAGAAAACAAGAAGAGTTATCTGAAAATGTAACAAAGGTCGAAATATGAGCTTTAAAAAAATTAACTTTTTTATCGTTTCTAACCACAAGGAACAAATTTTCTGATGAGGTCGCAGAACATACACATAACATAGATTTCATTTTACAAGGTTTTAACTATAAAATATTAATTTGTGAAAAGGGTGTCATTTACATGTTAATTGACTAACATATTTACCATGTACAGATTCGTGTACTTTGATTCGAGCCACACCCTTATTGTGAGTGCCAGTGATATTATCCGACTGCTCGAACTGATGTAGGTAGAGTTGTGTTTCAACCTGCAGCTGAACATCTTAATCAATGAGTTGTTGCTTCATTCCTATGTACGATCCATTGACTTATAATTCATATAACTACTGAACATTTAAATAAAGGGTTACCTTGAGTCAATTGGCAAACGCTATATAATAAATTGTTTATAATTTCAGGATAATCAAATATCAGTGTTAAAATTATACCATTATTTCTCAGCTATTTTATTAACGTAATTTGAGGAACTTGATAAGTTTTGTCATTGATTAAAGTTAGTCGATCAGTCACTCAGAAGCAACAAATAACTTGACACATTATTACATCGATTCAATTAACACAGAAGTATGAAACTGTCAGGTTAAATCTCAGAATAGTAGAGATAGTAACAGTGTTAATGGTAATAGAAAACGTTACTTATCTGAGATACAATTTTGGAAGATATAAGTGAGATAATAAAAACAATACATAATTAATTTAAAAACATAGGATTTAAGGGAGAATGAAGAGTGAATGCACCTGGACCACTGCGAACGATTCTGAGTTATACCATTCAAAGTCCCTACCAAGTGGATACAATAGTCATGAAACCTAGAATCCGGGTTTTCGGTCGAATACTTAAAACCACCTATGTAAATCCTTTAAAATAAGTAGCTCTGTAAGTCTTCGACATTAATGCTGATCTGGTTAGTTTTACTCAACACACTCGGTCGGTAAACCATCTGCATCAGATCATATTTAAACACGCCGCGCTTCGCCTCTTCTACGATAAGTAATCAGCTTAAGTTCCATACATTATGACACATCAACCCATAATTTAGACGAACTTTCTTAGCCTCTAATTCTTGATTTCTAGCGTCATTGACATTAAGATCATTACGCAAGAATAGAATTTGAACAGAGGTATTGTCAAAGTCTGCGTATCCGACATTCTCTTTATGTTCATAAGCAAAAATTCACAAAATAATACAAGGTTATAGTAAATTCTTCGAATTCATAGAAAGTATTAAAATAGAAGACAGCTTACAGATTTTGGATATTGAAATGAATCAGTGAGAAGCTGATTTTTATCAGCCGTACAATCTGTATCCATATCCGTTTTAATAATTGCATCGTTTGAAATTAAGTTTTCAAATCTATCAACCTTATCATCAGTATAATGATCCTGTAATTTGGCATTTTCAACACTTTCGTTTAATGTTGGAAAAAGACTTGGTAGTGGATCTTCTAACTGTAAAACAGCTCCTTTACTTCCTAAAAATATATAATAATAAACAATGTCGAATTTATTTTATCAGTCAATCGAAAATAAATGAATTACTTCAAAGATCAAAATTTATATCTCTGTATAAACATATCAGTAAAGTAAATAACCGACAATATGGGAATGAAATGTCGTGTAAGCAACTTATGGAAAATCGAGAAAAGTTTTCTTAAAACAAAAGAGAATTCATAAACAAAACAGAGGTAATGCAGGAACAGGTTCATTTCATACAATTCCGTTCTGACAGAACCAACATTTCATGACAGTCAAGTAACTAATAATCATAATCAGCTATCGAAGATTATCGATGTAGAGACTGGCACAACTATCAGTTGGTCATGTTGTACTTGCATCAGGAGAGAATTGGTTTGCTGATGTTATAAATTACACTTGTTATGCGATTGGAAAATACTAAACGTTATAGTGAACCCAATGGGTGAACAAAATAGAGAGATCCCAATCACTTCAAAACTATACCCTCAATATTCTCGATCCAGCCTCTTAATTATTAAGAAGACGAAATCTAGCCTGTGATGATTATATCTTTATGGAAAAATAGGACATTACATATAGATATTCTTTTCAATGATTAGTAATTATACATAAATCATCATAAGTTTAAACAGATATATCGAATGGAAATCAAAACTGAATGAAATAACCCTGAATATAATAGAACAATATACATTTTATCATATTATCAAGCCCAAGTTACCACATTAACACAACAAAACAAACTTAACAGGATGAATACCAAAGGAATTGAAATAATGCAGTAACAATCATAGTTAAAAAACTAAACATTCAGAATACAATTCGAAAAGGTAGAATAATAAGGTATATATGAAGGAATACTGGGAATACTGGAATACTCGCGAGAGCGGGTTCGTGGATGCGCACTGCTGAGGAGTCCCATAATAGGACGAAACGGCCGTCCAGTGTTTCCAGGTTTTCCTCGGTGGTCTAACTTCAATTGACTCATGCTTTCATCTATGAAACATACCAAATCTCCACAAAAACCCCTTCTAATAATTAATCCTTTGTTTCAATAAAAAACTATTTGAATCACCTCTAAATGGTAAGGTGATATACACAGACTTTTTTCGTCAAGGCTATACAGGTCTCACTGTACCATGAATTTTCCATCTATTTATGAGTTTGAGGGGATAGTCATTTTCCATTAACGTTTTGTTCAACAGCCTAACATCATCATCAACAGCATTATTTGTGCAAATACGATCAAGCCTGTTAAATAGGCACCTTATCAAACCCCGTTTGTATTGCACAGGGCAATAACTACAATGACTAAGGTATTGACCTGTCCACGTTGGTTATCTAAAAATGGATCGTTTGACTGAGCCATCTTCTCGTCTACTTACAAGTATATCTAGGAAGGGAAGCTAGTCATTTTTCTCCTCTTCCTGTGAGAGACTGATGTGGTTTTGGAGAGTGTTAAGTTTACGCAATAAACAGTTAATATCCTCTTTTCTTTCACAGACAACTAAGATATTGTCCGCATATCTGTTAGGATATTCACAAGAATATCCCAAAAATTATCTCGAATGTAAAATGGTATGTTTCCAGACTCTTCACATAATTCGCATGTTATTTCATATTGGCCATTATTTACAGTGTCCTAACCATGACTTTCATGTGTCGTTTCCCTATTGGTCAATTTTGAGTCGTCCTAATTATAACCTTTACGTGTCCTTTCTTTCCATTGGGTACTGTTAATATTCATCGTAACTGTATAAATATGCCTTGTCTGTAAACCATTTTTGTTCTGCTGCTGACCCCATAAACAATTCTCATTTAACGGCTGTGTTCTGATTTATTGGAGTTGGGAAATAGTATTGGGGTCGAACTAGGATATCTGAATTTGGTCAATCGGTAGAATTTCGCGTAGTCCTATCGCAATACGCTATATTTCCCATTATAACAATTGGCGACGGGGACAAAAGTGAAAAATGACGCTCCCTTCTGACCGCTTACAACTGCTCTTTGACCGACATTTGGAGTTCATGGTCAAACTACGTACACAGTTTCTGGATCATCAATGCTTCACATATGCGTCAGAAGTGGATGTATTAATCTCTGAATTGCACACAGAGCTAGCAAATGATCGCAGCCCCCATGATTCCTCGACCAGCCGCAACTCAAACGAAACAGCAGTCTCTCAAGAGACGCCCGGTTGTCCAGCACTATCCATTTCAGAAACGTGCCCGGTAGTGGATTCAAACACCACTATCCCTGAATTAGCAGGTCCTAACAATGCCGCTTTCAGCTCTCATCAATACGATGCTATGTTAAAAGCCCATGAAATGGTCGCACCAATCGCCCATAGAGTACCGGTTCACAAGAAGCCCCCTTCTCCATGTTGGCACTGTGGAGCCTGGCATTATGTGAAAGTTTGTCCATTCAAACAGCAGGTGTGCGATCGCTGTCATAAAGTTGGTCACAAAAGCGGTTTTTGTCAATCTCATCGACCCAATAGGCGTCGAAATGCACAGACGCAACGTCGTTATACTAAAAAGCAGCTTCCCTCATCAAGGAGTTTAGCAGCAGTCTTTCACACTCATGCCGCCACGCGACGCAAATTTCTAACCCTCTCAATCAATGGTCAACCAGTTCGATTGCAGTTGGACACTGCATCAGATATCACTATCCTGTCGAAAGATACTTGGCGAACCTTGGGTCAACCTCCCATCAAACCATCTTCGCAGACAGCCGTTAGTGCATGTGGTGGTCATCTCCGACTTCATGGTGAACTTAACTGCTGTATTTCGTTCAGAGGTACAACCTTCAATGGTACGTGCTACATCACCAAATCCCCTCTCAATCTTCTGGGTTTAGATTGGTTCGAAGAACTTGGTCTTGCCAATCTACCTATCAGCACTATCTGTAATCAAGTAAAAACTCTTGCTACTACACAACAGCATGCTGCAGACCTCCAAAAACGATTCATTGAACTCTTTCAGCCTGGTCTTGGTCTTTGTTCCACAACTGAAGCTGTTTTGAAACTTCAGCCAGAAGCTACGCCAGTTTTCCGTCCAAAACGTCCAGTCCCATATGCATCCCTACCTCTGGTCGACGCTGAACTGCAACGGTTGGAAACTGAAGGTGTCCTTGTACCTGTTTCTTATTCTTCATGGGCTGCACCAATTGTGGTTGTCAAAAAGTCTAATGGTTCCATACGCATCTGTGCAGACTTCTCTACAGGACTCAACGCGGCGCTGCAACAGCATCATTATCCGCTGCCGATCCCAGATGATTTGTTTACTATTTTAAATGGTGGTACCTACTTCGCTAAGCTAGATCTCGCGGATGCTTACCTTCAAATTCCTGTCGCTCGCGAATCGAGAGAATTGCTGACAATCAACACTCACCGAGGTCTTTTCCAGTATACCCGATTACCCTTTGGTATCAAGACTGCTCCAGCGATATTCCAGCAGATTATGGATACTATTCTGGCAGATGTTCCTGGTGTTGCTACGTATCTTGACGACGTCCTCATTGTCGGCTCAACTGCTGATGAACTGCATTCCAGAACATATTTAGTTCTACAACGCCTCCAAGATAATGGTTTTCGCCTTCGTTCAGAGAAATGCCAATTCTTTCTACGCTCCGTTAAATACCTGGGGTTTATCTTTGATGCTTCTGGACGACATCCTGATCCTCAAAATACTCACGCAATCCAGCAAATGCCTGCTCCCACTGATGTCTCTTCACTGCGATCATTTTTGGGAATGGTTAGCTACTATTCAGCATTTCTACCATCACTACATGAGGTACGATATCCATTAAATCATCTGCTAGAAAAGAATGCTACTTGGAATTGGTCCACGCAATGTGAATCAGCTTTTTCAAAACTTAAAGCCATGTTAAGCTCCAAACTACTGTTAACCCACTACAATCCGAAACTACCAATTGTAGTTGCTGCTGACGCTTCAACCCATGGACTGGGTGCCGTACTACTGCATGTTTTTCCCGATGGTTCAGAGAAAGCAGTGATGCATGCTTCGAGAACACTAACAGCCGCTGAAAAACGTTATGGTCAAATCGAGAAAGAAGCCTTAGCTCTGATTTTTGCTGTCCGGCGTTTCCACAAATTCATTTACGGGCGCCGTTTCACTTTGCTCACAGACCATAAGCCGCTGTTGTCAATTTTTGGATCAAAGAAAGGCATCCCTGTTCATTCTGCTAATCGTCTTCAACGTTGGGCGTTGGCGTTACTGAGCTACGACTTCGACATCCAGTATCGACGTTCTGAAGATTTTGGTCAAGCGGATGCATTGTCCAGACTTATCAGCAAGCACTCTACAACTGATGAGGATACACTCATAGCCACAATAGCAACGGAAGATGATTCTGGTGCAACACTATTGGCGAATGCCGTGCGAGCTATGCCTGTTACGGCTGAAAACGTTCGAGAAGCTACCAGAAACGACCCGATTATTCGAGAAGCAATCACTTATGTTCAGAGCCGATGGCCAGTTAAGCAGTTCAGTGGTGAGATGCTACACCTAGCGAATCGTCGCAGCGCTCTTTGTGTTGTCAATGACTGTCTGATGTTTGGTGACCGTGTAGTAATTCCAACAACCCTGCGTGCCAAGGTCCTACGCCGATTTCACGCTGGTCATCCAGGGATAAACCGTATGAAATCTATCGCTCGTAGTTACGCATACTGGCCGAACATGGACAAGCAAATTGTCGACTTCGTCAAAACATGTCCACATTGTCAGACAGCTGCGAAACATCCTCCTAAGTTGCCACCAGTACCCTGGCCCAAGTCAGAAAAACCCTGGTCGCGAGTGCACATTGATTTTGCCGGACCCCTAGATGGTACCATATATCTGATACTGGTCGACTCCTTCTCCAAATGGCCGGAGATATTGCCGATTGCACCACCTTCTACAACTCGAACCATCCAACTCCTTAACCAGATCTTCGCTCAGCATGGTCTGCCAGAAACAATAGTAACAGACAATGGTTCGCAGTTCACATCCAGTCAGTTTCGAGAATTTTGCATGCAAAACTCGATCAATCATGTCCGTTCTCCGCCCTACCATCCGCAATCTAATGGTCAAGCTGAACGCTTCGTCGATACATTCAAACGTGCCATGCTTAAGGCAAGAGGGGAGGGAACAACACACGATATTATAGAACGATTTCTAATTGTGTACCGGACGACTCCTCATGATTTATTGCCGAACTTCAAATCCCCTTCGGAGGTACTTATGGGACGGAAGCTACGAACAATTCATAATGCAATGACACCCAGGCGAGTAGCCCAACAGAGTCCTCACATGAAGAATACCCGAATTCCTTACGAAGTTGACGCAAAAGTGTATGTGCGGGACTATAGACATGGGTATGATAAATGGATAGAGGGTGAAGTCGCAAAGAGACAGGGGAAGGTCATGTATGAGGTCAGAGTAAACAGAGAAATCTGGACCAGGCACCATAATCAACTAAGGCCAAGAGAAGCCAAGAAAAAAATTGAAGTTACGAAACGCGTCCCACTCGATTTATTACTGGATACTTTCCAACTTCCGCCAATACCTACAACGGAGGCAACTCAGTCATCTAATCAGGCAGAACATTCTTCCGGTTCTCGGTCGTTACCTCCAAGGAGGTCGGGACGCAAACGCAGAAAACCAAAAAACTTTCAAGTAAACCCACGATTGCGTCGCTATTAATTTTTTCCAAGGGGAGGTGTTAGGATATTCACAAGAATATCCCAAAAATTATCTCGAATGTAAAATGGTATGTTTCCAGACTCTTCACATAATTCGCATGTTATTTCATATTGGCCATTATTTACAGTGTCCTAACCATGACTTTCATGTGTCGTTTCCCTATTGGTCAATTTTGAGTCGTCCTAATTATAACCTTTACGTGTCCTTTCTTTCCATTGGGTACTGTTAATATTCATCGTAACTGTATAAATATGCCTTGTCTGTAAACCATTTTTGTTCTGCTGCTGACCCCATAAACAATTCTCATTTAACGGCTGTGTTCTGATTTATTGGAGTTGGGAAATAGTATTGGGGTCGAACTAGGATATCTGAATTTGGTCAATCGGTAGAATTTCGCGTAGTCCTATCGCAATACGCTATATTTCCCATTATAACAATATCTCTTATAAGGTGACATATTTTTGATTGGGTCTTCAGCCACATCTTCAACATGTGTCACGAACACATCTGCTAATAATGGCCCTAAAGGACTACCCATAGCAACCACATCGATATGGTGAAAGTATTCACCTTCAAAAATGAACTGAACTTTGTCAGTACATAATAGTAGCAAATCTTTAGGAATTTTTTAAAGGGATAGGTAATATGAGGTTGTTTAAAGATATATAGTGACATAATATACCAACAGTCTTTTTCAAAGGTACATTTGTGAACAAGGAATTCACGTCAAATGAACACACATTGTCTCTTCCTTGATGTTAATATCACCTAAATGATTTCAAGTCACTATGTTGCATCACCTCCAGGACTCCAACCAGGGAGTCATGAGGGATCAACAAAAGTCAATTCTATACAGCTTTCTTTCATACCAGTGAACTGTGTCATACACTGACGACCTTTCCGCTTTTTCCAACCGGTTCTAGTGTCGGCAAATAGTACACGATGTGGGATTCGCTGGGACGACATCCGTAAGACATGTCAAAGCCACATAAAACAATTTTTCAAGATAGGGACATCAGATGAGTTGTCGTCACTGTGCCCGGACATACGACGCCGACTCTCTGTATTACTAACAAAGCACAGCCTACAACAAACCATTCCAGAGATCCGCTATACCCAACGAATCCAAGACATATGCCGAAATGACCAAAAGACATCGTTTCTCACACCGATTTCTTCTCACTTTGATGGAACTTTCTAATCTAACAGCACATAACCGACTGTTATTGAGGATCCAATGGGCTGGTGCTGACTCGACTCTAGCGACACCAACGCCAGCAAAGCCAGACGAAAACGCCACAAGGCCACCGGATAAAGACATATGGAACAAGGTTTTCGATGGAGAGTGAGTTTGTAGTACTTCACTAGAGTCTTGAAGGGAGCCACAGTCGGAGCCTTTGACCTAAAAGTCTAATGCTTAAGGCAGTGGAGCAACATTGGGAGATGCAGTTTCATGCTAACCGGTGACCAACAAGAGGATCATACACAATTTTGAACCCTTAGGATCCTGAAGCCCATGTGCACCAGTGAATTGGAATAAGAGTTTTCCAACTACGTTAGGTGGATCATCCGTACCCATCCACCATGTTAAAGCCCCGGACATTCGCTTTTCATCCTCTCAATTTTGCAAATGACACCCATGTTGCGAGAAGGCAGTGAGTAGGACTTCCCTAGAAGTGAGGCCATGTGAGGGCATTTCAAGAGGGAGAGCGTGCTCTCTCTACCCTCAGCTGTACCGGGGCATTTGGGGACGCGTCAAGGAGACGTATGATCAAAATTCATCAATTTACACATACCTTTTACTTTCAAAACCCATGTTTCAGTCACAGAGTAGTACAAAGCTGACCGCCGCACAGTATACTCGCCCTCTAGTTGGGAAACAAACATCTTATCTACACCACAACTAACGGAATTCGACAAGAGCTAACTAAGCTTTCTGAGTATGTGCGGAGACTTCATTACTCATTAACTCATCAGAGCCAACGAGACATCTGAGACAAGCGAATCTGTCGATGCCCTGAACTATTTTATTCTCCAGTGCTAGCTTAAGTGATGACAAAGACCAGTCCTGAAGCAACATTTTGCATTTAGAAGTAGAGTAACGCATCCTAAATATACGTGTATTGTAGTTCAAAGTGACCAGGGGACTCTAAATTATGTCCGTGTCTTCACCAGATACGACTGCGTTACCTGTGTATTCTCACATGATAAATTAACCTTGTGATAGATCAAACCGTGAAAAGTTAGGTGAAGAAAGTGTAACTTCCCGGAGAACATCAATGAAGAAATTAAAAAAAGATTATAGTATGAAACCCTGATGAACACGATTTAAAGTTAACAGTTCTGATGACGGTCCTCTTCAAGTCGAGAACCGTCACAAGGTCTATTTACTTCTTCGGTTCGCTTTTTAAATACAAACACTGCCATAGACCCCCTCAGTCAATGGAGTCATATATTACCTTTAGGTTAAGATATATCACTGCTATAAGACGTCCGTAAACATAAGTATTTCTTAAGACCTGATGAAGTGTGAGTACTTTAAAATCTGTGCTTAACATCCAGATGTGAAATTAGCGCTGTTTACCGTAGGTTGATGTTTCTAAAAGTCAAATAACTGTCAGATGATTATGGAGGCCCACATTTTAAACACAGTCAAAGTGATTCCTGTATTTGTCATAAGAGGACTTTATCTCACTCTTATATGCTGGGACGATTAGGATCCGAGACTAGTCATCAAACAGTATTACATCGAAACTCCAACACATATGTCAGTCAACTTGGCTGTTAAAACCAAATGACCATCCTTAAAGACCTATAGAATAAACCTATCAGGTCCTGCTGATGTCCATCTTGGGTTATATTCATAACAATACTACAATGGACACAATCCCAAAAGTTAGAGAGAGTTTCTAGTGACCGAGAACTTACTGATATAATAAACGGGCCACAAAACACTGACGTGAATTGAATAAATCAGAGAACAAATGTAATGCATGATTAATGCAGAATGCTGTCGACTGACATCGAATGAATATCAGTGTCAAAAGAAAAAGACTTAAATGTAAAACATATTTTATTATCCCATAGTCGATTGGGTAGTTTGATTTATTCCCCACACTAGATTTCGTATCCTGTTAAAGTGAGGTAATATTTAGCCTACGTTTTCTTTGTTAGAATGAACAAAATAATCAATTTATTCATGAACTTTTACGATGAAATCTCTCGAAGATACTAGTTTAATTGTTTTTCCATTAATAATAAAAGGTGTTTTGGATACCTACCTATTGACATATTTCGACAACATAAGATTGATTTTCTCAGAAGACTTTATTTCTGTAAGCCAAAACATACCGAGTTCTAGAATATCTTGTGTGCAAACACTGTCTTTTCGAAGAAATAGATGGATAGGAAAAAGCCTGACCAATCACAAAAACAAATGCAATAAAAATTCTATGTTGTATGTAATCTCAAACTACATCATCGTCGTAAATAAAAAGTGGCTACTATTAAAGTGCACCGAATTTTTAGATGACTTCAAATAAATCATTTCAAAGCTACGCAAACTAAAAAGGTCAAAAATAGTACCATCAACTATGTTGCGCGTTTTAGAATGATATATAATAATAATTACACATGATTTTCGTTTGGGATTTCATAAGAGGTATGTGAGAGACTACAGATTTTTATTGAACAATTTGAACTAATTGACTAACGATTATTAAAAACTCCTCCATTCAGAGCTATGTAGTCGGATATCAAAATGAACCATACTTGATGTCAGATATTTAAATGTGATTTTAAAAGATTCAGGATTTGCTCATGGATCTTTTTGTCAACGGAACTCAATTTTCTTTCAGTGATAGACAGTATTATTAAGTCAAACTAGTTGCACTAAGTAGGTTTGAGTGGAAATCCTTTCATAAGATAACGAGAGAAAATGTAGCGTAAAACTGTTTTCAACTGGCTGTAAATGATCAGTATGGTGAAAAAGTGAAAAATTACCTTGTATGTCTGTAAACAGATGTCCTGAGAGATTTTTATTGTTTTCACATGAGTTATTTTCAACTTCTTTTTGTAAATTGTAATCATCGTGACCATTTGAAAGATTGGATGAGCCAGTTTCCATTTGATTATCATTTGATGAGTCAATAATAACTGTTTGATGAACAAGTTGCGACTCTTTTATTTTTTGTGAAGTGGCGATTCCTAAATTTAAATTTTGTGACAATGATTTTTGTTTTCTGTTTAAATCAGTAGATTTTTTCTCTAGATCTTGAGATATATTCTGTACTTTGTCGCCATTATTAGCAGAAGATATGACTTCTTTTAAAGCTCGAATAGTTTTGAAATAAGGTCGCTTTAGTGACTAGAAATAAAAGAAGTCGATCAATAACAGAAAACAGAATTGAAAAGTGCTTATTTACTAATCTTGGTAGATGGAGTAATATTAAAATTCTAACTATGTATTATTCAGGTTTAAACACATAGTCAAGGAAAGTCCAACACTGAACGACTGACGTCATCTCATTTATTGTATAATTGAAAAGTAAGTAAATGGTGTATACTGTGCACATATGAATCAACGTTTAGCTTCCACACTAATATTCATAAAAAGTAACACTAATGGAAAAACATTTTAAACTGAGACTGAATATAAATAAACATCCAGCCAAAAGGTATATAAAGAGGTGTTTGAATATTCTGTTTTAAAACTATACATACACATCTTGATTTCGATGTTAGACATCGACTCGATCGACTACAAACATTTCAGTCGTTTCGAACTATAAACACTAAGGATGACATACTTTACATGCTTGTATATAAACTAACAATGGTCGTCAGTAAATACAGAGAAAAATGAGTATTCGAAAAGATGAAACGTAGCAGATACGCAAAAGTAATAAAAAACATATTTCAAGTGTGAGATACTATTGCGCTGAAGAGTTTTCAATTAATGAACATCATGTGAAAGTGAATATGCAACGTTAAGGATTGAGTTTATGCATCTAAATGAACTGAGTATATATACTTACAATTCAGAAAACTACATTTGACAGTTATCATAGCCTACCTAAAGGATTTGAATGATCAGGACAAATAATTGAATCCAAGAACTATGATGAACTATAAATTTAGGTTTTGTTAGTAATAGAAACCCATGGTATATGGGGTCAAAAATATCGGGAGAATAACTTTAGTGAAAAGTCATTAATCCTCTAGACTTAGAAAATCTTGACTCAGAAAATAAAGGGCGATGTAATATACCAGAAACAAAAGGCTATCAGGTTTTATACCACTATTTTCCTAAACTGCGTAAAAAACTGTTCCAGAATATTTTATCCTAAGTATCTGGTTGATTCAGAGTCAGCAAGCAAAATAATAAATTTATCGTAGTTTAAGTGCAAATATTTAGATCTGAAACCCCGGAAAATTTAAGAATTATAAAGCATTGGAATTCGCTTACTTCACGTGCCGTTGGTCGATGCTTGGGATTCCAAGAAATCAGATCCAGAATGAGCTGAATACCTTCGTGATTAGCATTCGGAATCAAAGTATGTAAAGGCACTGGAGAACACTGTGGAAATTTGAAATTCATAGCGGCAGCTAGTTGATATCCTTCAGGCCAACCACTCTATATATATAAGACATGAGTAGCAAATAATATAGTCTAAGATTTGTGAGAGAAATAAATATCTACTGGTGGAAAGTATGTTGACTAAACAAATCGACTGTTTAACTTATTCATCAATAAATCTCCTTTGCACTAAGTTGTTGTTTCAAATAAATAAGTGTCCCGATGTATAGTCGGTAAGCTAACAGGGTAACTAGTTTAAGAGTATAACATAAATGCTTAAACAATAGTAACAATTCGCAATTTAAGGTTTTAAATAATAATCAAAGTCAGTAGGTAGAAAAAGAGTAGCATTTACATAGTTATAATAATGAAGTGAAAATTTCTTTAGATACTCCAATGTTCACTTGAAAAAAATAGTTAAAATAATCAACGTAGTTTCGAAAACTGAGGTGGATCAAATGGCAGAAAAAGTTTGTCTACGTTGAATATTTACGTTGACTATAACGAGAGATATGTGATGGGGTATACACGATATCAAAACACATCTAAATTTTTCTAAATGCTAATAATTCGTTCAAGATTTGGCCACCTAGATTAAAAAGATATCATATTTTCCTAAGTTCCGATAAACACTTTGGAAGGGTTTATGTGGTTCACTGCTCTGGAAACTCTGACCACAAAACTGTTTGTCTGAGGGGTGGTAATACCGAAGTACGAAGAGGATGTAAACCTCCAAAAACTAAGCTACTGCCTGAACATCTACCTATTTAACGAGACAGAACTTTGTAATGTTCGGGAACCAGGTCACCAAAACGTTGCCTTTTAAAGATGAAAATGATATGGTGGTCACAGAATCGGTGAGAACTCATCAAGTAGTATGGTGAACTGAGTGTCGTATTTACCTTCAAAAAGTGCTCACTTCATTTATGTGATAATTATTAAGGTAGATGCTTATTTTTTGAAGGTCGTGGGTGGATTGAATAATGTAATAGCTATTATGTACACACTCTCACTCAGATGCCTCAAAACAGTCATATGTTTACTTGCTGTATTTTTGAAATCAGTAATAAGGTCATGGGATTCTCTGTGATATAAAGGCGAATTAGAAGCTTCTTCAAACACTAAAATGAAGTTGACTAGAATGATTGCGTACAGCTAACTGCGTTCAAAATCACCATTACTATAAGACGCGATGGCAAGATATCTCGAATCTTCTGAGCTTACTATTGGTGAAAATTGAAAGCAGCCCAAAAGAAAATCCACGACAGTGGTGTGAACTAAACATTCAGAAGACTAACAATTTTGAATGTGTTCATGATTTAGGTCTTATATATTATAACATAAAAGTTTTCTAATGAACATATAAGCGGATGACGAGCAGTGTTTGTAATTATGGTATCTAGTTTGCGTCATCGACGTGGATAATACTATAAAAATAGGAGAGAGCTATAAGTCGGCGAAGAGAGTAGATATTGTCCGTGTACCTGGGTAGCTTTGTGAGTACTGGTGAAATAGCCAATGAGATCACTATTTGTATATTGACGACCACATCAACTTAGCCCAATGAGAATCTGATTATGAAATGTTAGGTGTATAGTGTTTTGTTGATATTACTTATGCTTTTCTAATTGTATAACCTCACTATGTCTGATTGATGAACCTGCGTTTGATTGTTACCTTCGGGAAATTGCTTAAATTCAGTGAGGACACAGTGTAAGTAGAGTCGCGGTCCGATCATAATGATCAGTGATTTAATGTTGGCATCTTAAAGCAATGGTTTGGGTAGCTTGAATAGGTTTTAAGTATGTCGTCTGAGTAGCCTCCATGATGAACACCATTTGTTTAAGCTGAAATGAGATGAAAAAGTGGTTTAAGATAATATCAGACATACTTCACAATAGTAGCCAGTGGCAATTTAGCTGTATTTTTTATGTCGTTTACAAACAGTAAGAAACCCCTAAAAGAGATCCATCCCTGTTTTTTCCTGTTTGAACCATAGCTTTTACCACTTTTTATGTTTGCTTGTATAAAATAAATAATCTCTTTCATTTACTTTTAATGTTATCCTATTTTGTTCAAAGAATTTCATAGTACATTAATATGCCAGGACATTATGTCATAACCCTGATGTTGGCAACCTTTTTTAATTGAGAATATGTAGCCACTCCTATAAAAAATAAATGACCGACTGAATAATAAGGAACATATAAAATGAATGGTCCAGATTATGTGAAACAATTATAATCCAACTAGCACAGAGGGCCAAAATAACGCAAATACGGTTTACTAAATCGATCACATTATGTTAACTTAATAAGTCGTTATTCAGCGGTTTGATTAAGGCAGTAAACATCAGTGATCTAAATCAGCAAAATATTGAACCAACAATAATCAAATTGAATCACTGCAAAGCACTTTTCAGACAAATCTATGCAGACAATCTTAATGAGGTGGAGAATATTTATAGCTCATGAAAAAGATCTTAGTGATACTACGTTTTCTGACTTGGATGGTTTAGTAGTGGAAATTTCTGTCTAGACAACATTATGATATACGTTGCAAAGAAATAATATATTAAAAGTTCTCCAAAACTAACAGCTTGTTCTATTGACCGGGAATTCGATCAGTCGTTATCCACGATTGTGTTACCGTTATTCGGGTGTTCATTTTGCTTATCTTATTCCTTGGCTTGGTGTTCGATCTTGAAATTATTGATTCTCCTAACTTTTTCAAAGTATTCGTTATTAATGTTCAAAAAGATAATGAAAGCATTATAACTAAATCACCCAGTTTGGAAAACACATCTGTAAGATAGAATTTTTTAGCTGTTAAACACCTAGCAATAATAGAAACTTGAGTAACGAACGAACGATAAAATTTGCTTAGAATTATGACGAAATCATTTTCAGCTGTAACATGGATCATGTTCCGATATGCAGTAGGAAACCTTGCAAAGAACAATTTCACCATGGCGGAAATCGAGCACAAAGTACTGTGCTTACTTTCAATATAACTCTATACTAAAATATGAATTGAAAATTGTACGACAATTCATGGAATTATAAAATTTAATAACTGATTTTAGCGAAAATCGGGTGAAAGTAGAGAAACAAACAGCATAACTACTTGTTGATCGCACGTCTCAAAACCACGCAAATCATTAAATGTGAAAATTGTAGTTGCACAATGAAGTTTCGGATAACAATCAACTTTAACTTTATGAGCAACAAGCTTACCTTAGAAGGTGTACCCAAAACAGAACAAATCTTGAAAACCATGTCAATTTCTGAGCTTCCAGGAAACAACGGACGAAACGTGTAGAGTTCCGCCATTATGCAACCAACAGCAAATAAATCGACAGGTGAATTATAGCTAGTTGATCTCAGGAGCACTTCAGGGGCCCGATACCTGAAAATGAGAAACACGACCTATTGAGAATGGTCACACTAGAAACAGTCAACTAAGCAGTCACAAGATAAGGATGAAGGTTCATTTACATGATGGTTAAGTCAATTATAGAAGAGTATTTTTCGTGAACTGATATCAACTGAAAAATAGGAAATAAGTCAACTATTTTACGCTTGGTAATGAACGTCTTCGGAATATAATCGGATTTGATGTGTATGGTTCAATGGTATAGAAATGGCTCTTGCGCTACCAATGAGACGACAATGTTGGACATTTTGCGAATTTAGACAACTAATCACACAGAACAAATTAAAAAACACTAACAGCTGATTGTACTAACTAATGGGTAGCACAATATCTCATTGATTTAAGGAGCCCTAATTTAAGCACACAGATTTATGTACGTCATGAACTGCTGAAGTAGCATAATTTAAAGCATACACTCTTAGAACGCTATCCTACTTTTTGGTGTTTAGCAAATGAGTCATGTTCTATCCAACAAAACTAAGTAGTTATAGAATTTATTGAAAAAAATTCTTAAAGCTTTACTTAAATGTAACCCAAAAAGAACATCAGCTTAGAACGAAATAATATTGATTACCATGAAATTTAAACAAAATAAACTTTGGTTTGCTGGTTTTGAATAGCGTATATATATATATAACATGAGTTTTTCTCTATCTGAAAAACTTATTGATAAATATATAAAATCTTGAAGAACTTCTGATAGCATAGACCAGTTAAAATCTGATTCAGATGAATGAATGATAATGTATGAACATTACTTATATACAACGTACCACCTGGTAGACACATAATCAGTATAAGGAGGTTGCGAACGGATCTCACGAGCAAGTCCGAAATCTGCTAGTTTCACTGTCTCTGGGCCATTGCACAACAAATTTTCAGGTTTCATGTCCCGGTGGAAAAACCCTAGCAATGAAGAAGTAACATACTAACGGATAATATTACCTGAAAACCTTTACATTCTTTAGAGCAGCAGGCAAATCACTTAACAGCTTTAAAAATAATAGACCAAAACTTGCGTTTATACAGAACGTATCACATATAACCCGGGATTCAATTAACTAGTATGTGTTTCTATACATATGCCAAAATTACAATGTACATGGTACTAGGAAATTTTCGTAAGTCGGATAAATTTTAATTGGTGCCTTCCGTACTTCTTGTTGTAGTTTTGATGTGAAAATACAACTAAGACCCATATAAATACTGATTAGTTACTAAACTAGTATGTGAATCAGCTTTAAGTGAGAAATTAATTCCAAAGACCTAAGTTTAAATTCTATTGATTGCCATATTTTTGAACCTAATCGTTATACAGCACCTTTCAAAAATTGGTTTTTAAGTAAAATGACACGCTAGTAAAACTTTTGACTTTTCGGATCTCATTTAGTACCTCAGAAACCACATAAGAAGACAGAGTTAGGCTGTTATTGTTCTGTTAACTAAGATACGCCTGGTTACGAGCATAAGTTATTTTCACTGACATTCTCCAACATCTAAGAAGTCAGTGACAGATTAAGGTCACTTATACTGTAAACCTGATTTTATGTTTATGTAATTAGTGCAAATATAGCAACCAAATTGTGATTAAATACTTGAGCTGTGGTATATTTTAAGTGTCATTATTTGTTTCCATTTATGATATACTCATGCAACGAACAATTTATCCGACTTTTTTTTAATTGTAGTGGTCATACCGACTTAAGTTTCGATATCACTAAAATCAAGGATATACAATATTATTTAGATGTGCAATATGAGGGACTAAAAATTACGGGCGAATGTCTTTTGATTACTTTTAAAATATATTGGTACTTAATTATTCCTTAAGTACCAAACAAATAATAGTAGAATCAAGATTTGACAATAAACAAAAGTAACGAAGCTTTATGATAAACATCCCCATTCTTAGCTTCCAAAAACATATCTAGAGTTATCACCTGAAGTTCTGTTTTGTTCAGGCTATAAATAACCAATTTGACCTTTTCAAAGAAAAAAATGGTCGCCAAACATCTGAGGAAACAGGGGGCCGAAACAGACCTGTAGTCCTAAAGACTTTTCACTGCTGTCTTAAACCTGATGACGACTAATGATTTATCAGAACTGATAATTAAGCGATTCACATGTCTAGTGTTGTATTTACTAACCTATGTCAGGCTTTATATTGAAGTCAAATGATCCGATTTCCTAATACAAACATAAAGAAAGACTCCGAGGAAAGTGTCCTAAATTCTCGTTTTACGACTTGAACTGAATGACTACGATGAAAAATTACTTCAGAAATAATCACTGGAAGAAAAAATACTTAGTTACCCTGCTTATGCATGAAATTTAGGCCGTCAAGAACTTGCCAAATTATATTCCGAATAGTTTCTTCTTGAAAAAGTCTAGTCCTGAAAAAGCAATATAGATTGAATTATGGGAAAACTGATGAAATAGCGACGTGAGTTCAAAATGAAACAACATTAGAACCTTCTAATTATTTCATAAATATTTTTCTTGTACTCGGAAACCAAGTAAAGTTCGTCATTTTCGCGTATCATCCCATGTAGTTTCACAGCATAAATGATTTAAATGCTTTAAAGATTTTAAAAAATAGATGAGAATTATGTTAAGCAACAAAAGCTATAATAATGGAGACAAAAGCAAAATCTACGTGAACATGAGAAGGGGTGTATAGATAAAAACCTGGACACTAATATTTACCTTGCTTTTATGAGTTCATATAAATTATTCTCAAGCGCCTCAAATATTAAATAGAGATAATTATTTTCCCGCACTATTTCCCTAAGCTTCACAATATTTGGGTGAGAAAGTTTACTCAACGACTGCAGAGTGTGAATTCGAGATTAATCTTACTTTGACCTCACGCAAATTCAAGCATTCGTTCCAAGAGTAGAACTTTCTTTTCATCCTAAACAATTTTCAATTTAACGTTGATTTGGTTACTTCTTAATAGCAACTTTCTCCTTTGTTTCCTGGACAGTAGCAAGTAGTACTGAACCGTAAGTCCCGTCTCCTAATTGTTTTATCAGTGTGTAACGATTCATTTTATTTTGTCCATCTATTGATCAGAGTTATTAAGCTGAGGCAATAGGCAGCAAACAGAAACCACTTTGAAATATAGGCACAACGTGAAACCTGTTTTCATTGGTGACGGTGCAGTAAAACTAAACCAATGTATGTGAACGACAGACTCTCTTCAAAAATATTTAAGTTTTAATACGTATTCATTAACACAATGAGGTGTTTTCATTGTTATTGAGTGTCCAATTTCAACAGATCCTGATTGCTTGTCTTTTCGGTTTCGCCACCATCGTAAAACATAAAGGATCCTGCGTCTTGTTCGCTGTATGTTTCCTGTTTGTTCCATCGTTTCAACTTAGTTTCTGTTGCCCCTGTATGTTTTAATCATGCTATTCATTTAATGCTTTCACGTCGACTTGTTTGTTTGTGAATCAAGCTAGTTGTTTTAGGTTTTGTTACTAGGATGAACACGAGCCATTTGTCTTATCAGGGTGGCTTCACGTACGGTTTTGTAATACGAAATTCAGCGTCTACACCTATATATGTTAATGATGTCAGTTTGAAGGTTTTGGCTGTGTTGAGATATCTGCAAAACATAGATATCAACAGAACCACCAAGATATTTCATTATATTTGCACGAGATAAGAAGACATTTGATCAAAACAGATTTCAGAAGTTTGTAGCGGTAAATAAATCTAAAAAATAAAATGTCTTCGACATTCATGTCAACGTCATCAATTTTACTGTACACTCCAATGTTGAAGACGCTCAGTCACGCATCCGCAGATCACGAGTGGGTACGCCACACTGTGTATCACTTGAAACTTCTAGTCAGCTGAAATAGAACGCCTCTCGACATGTTGACAGTTTCCTGAATATAACTTTGAATGCATTCATCCCTGACTTCTGATTTGTCTTGTTTGGTATCCTCCCATTCTAAGAGTATTGCAGACAAAGGGTTGTCAAACCCTGAATATCTGTGTCACCTTTACGATATTCACCTGGGAATTGGAAGTGTTTCACCCACAAAAGAAGTAACAATAAAATAACTTAGACCTTTAGATAGTTTAAGATGTGTTTAGTCAATATCAAAAATGACATTTTGAAGTTTGTCTACATAAACTGGTTGAGAAGCTTTTTATTCTATTCCCATGCTGCACTTCAGCTCAAGTATATAATTCTGTTTTCAGAGAAAACAGAAGTTTAGAATGCGAATGCTCACCCTTGTTATGAGGATCTCTAAATTGACCTATCTACATTTCAAGAAAATCAGCGACTCTGAGTTTTGCTGTTTGATGACTTGATGGAAATGTTAGTAGTCAATGAGAAAGCACCTCATTTTGGGTTGACGAGCTTTCTGGAGTATTAACATAGGTTCTTTTATTCTGAATAACAGTAAGAGTGACTTACTAAATCCGAAATAAATGTACATTACTTTTTGAATTTATTAGGTCCCCCAACAGTCCTTAAATATGATGAAAGGGATGTGTCTGGTTTAGCTATTCTATTGTCATACACCAACCTCAAGATTACGCTATTCAATGAAGATAGGTTCCTTTGAATATATTCCATTTTGTGTGTTTGACGAAGGTTAACCAACTACATCTTCTCTCTTGAGTAACCTCACATGCAACTATAGAGAAAATTCCTACACGTCCGTTGTTTGCTTGTGACTAGTGTTTTACATTACTGCACTATGTGTTGTTTCTTTTAATTTTGTCAATATTTTGTCAATTGATCATATTCTGGAGATTGATCGCGATTATTATATAGTCCACAAATTGTGAGTCCTTACCGTTTCCTTGATGTTGTCGAGTCTTTTGGTAGCCATTTTATCTTTGTTTTACCCAGAAATATTTTATGCCGCTCTCCGTACTGGTCAGCTATACCTTGTTTAATGCCTGGAGAACTGATCTGTATTTCGTAAGATTGATTTTGAAATCTGTTACCTATATTATTTTCAGGTTGATCGCTGTTGTTCGCGTCGATTGCTCATACTTGAAGCAAACTAAATTCTCTAACCCCTCTTCACCGGTAGGGAAATTGCCCCGTGACTGATAGGAATTTCTTTCCTATCGTGACAAAAGGGTTTTATCAGGTGTCTGTACCAGTTGGATAAATTACCGCTCAGTACCGTTCCTGTGTACCTTTTGCATCATTTTGAACGTTTTTCATGACATTATTAGATTATTGGCTATTAAAACCTTTTACATTGTCGAACTCGTGAAAGTGTGGCTGAGATTTGAATATTGAAACTGACACAGTGGAGCTGTCTAATTCCTGGATCTAAAGAGTATGGCCGCTAGTGTAGCCTCCGAAAGTCGTGTTATATTTCTGATTTATTGAGAAAGGCACTAGGTTCAAATTACTGGTCAGATATATCATAGGGTCAACTGTACTGAGACAGTAATAGAGCCCTTTGTAACATCCAGTTCGAAAGTTTTGTATGTGAGCATCCCTCCATGCATACATTTGCCACTTGTTCTTATTGGTTTCTTTAGTTGTACATTTTGTTAGTCTTTTTGATTCCATTGTATGTCGGTAATATTTCATTTTAAAATAGTTTTCTCATTTTTCTTCCGCTTTCACTGAGTTTCTGTGTTTCTACCTGAACTGTATTTATGTTGTTTTAGTTTATACTTAATCTTGGCGACAGCCATATTAATTGTTCCCTCGTTGATTTGGTTGCTTGGGTTGGCTAGGATTGTGCATTTTCCCCTTGTTTTGAATCCAATTGGGAAAACCGTTTGCCTAACTACCGAGACAGTTATTTTTCAGCCAAACCTTAGTTTGGATTTTACTCTCATGATCACTTCATCAGCTATGCTACCAGGTATTGTTTGTGTTATGGGTGTGATATCGTACTCTTTCCAAATACCTAGTGACTAGCAACAAATATTTCTTTAGCTTCACCAAGGTTAAAAATTGTGGTGAGGGGATGCATTATTTACGACAATGTGTAACCTCTTTGAATTACATCAAATGTTAAACAGGCCATCATTTCGTGTTTGTAGGTTTCTAACAGACTTTAGGTTTGATTTATCAGGTGTTCTGAAGGCTACAGCCATTCAGTCACAGTGAGAATCATTGAGTGTCTTTGTGGAAATGAGTCCAATCATCTTCCGGATTTCGTTCAACATTAGAGTCAGGGCACTGAGTGGGTTGAAAAAAACCTATAGATTACCAAGTCACAGATACTTTGTGCTAGGCTGTTTAAATCCCCCTTTTGATTTTCAGAATATACCTGACAGAGCGTCTTGATATTTATGTGCTAGATATTAGATTCAAATTGTTTGGTTTTGTTTAGTTTATATTCAAGTATGAGATGAAAATTATTATCAACGGGACAGTCCATGTCAACTTTGACATAATACGTGATATAAGGTATCATTTTCACTGTTTTTGGCAACTATGTGAAGAAAATTTTGTTTTAAGGACGTTTTCAGAACAGTTAAAATCAGTCACGGATTCTTCATCGTCATCAGAAGTATCGATAGTACATGATTCACAAACTTCAGCGGTTGATGTAATGTCATGAGCTTTGTGCCTTGGTAACTCTTCGTCATCTGGAAGGATGAGTAAAGGGGTAACAACATGGACAAATGCTTGGTTGGGATTCAACAGAGCATTCATGTTGCCAGAGTGATCAAATTTCGAGGACAATGGGTACAAGTTTTTCATTCCTATGAGATTTGATAACGTGCGAACGATTTTAATTTAATTCTAATACTAACGAGTACATTATAGAAAATACAGAGTCTATATCCAATACACTGTCGAACAGACGTACAATCGATTACAGACACTCCAATTTAAGTTGTGGGGGGTGTGGTGTTTATATGAACCAATGATTTCTTTGTATTGATGAGTATTTTGATTTTGAATTCCAAATACACCACATTCGTTCGTGCTAATCTAATAATTCTTGATTAAATTGCGTTGCTTTTGGGATTACTAGCAGTGTGCCACGCTGGGTCGAAACGTGATCTGGTGCGGATTCGACTCATCCGGAACATATTCGTCCCATTCATTAGGGATATCTCTAGAAATAAATCCATTGTGACGACGAATAGCATTTGATATGACATCAGAATCTGATTTCTCTGAAATATTTTCCTCAAATTTATTAAGAGTTTCATTAAAGAATAATGGGTCATTAGAAATATTAGCATCTACCAAAACTAAATCCGGTTTTTGATCATGATTTGACTCATTCAACATATTATTCGCAGAGTTGTAAGAAATTTCATCAGAAATATGTGAATCACTAGGACAAACCAAATCTGGTACAATACTGTGAAAAATCTGATAAGAAGTTGGTTGATTAGAAACTTTTGCCTCACAATGATTCTGGGTTTTATTCAACTCTGAACTGCTATACGACGTTATACCGCTTCTAGAAGTCTTGGATAAAGACAAATGATCATTAGAAACATTCAACTCAGTAGGATCACAGTCACAATTTTTAGCATTAGTTTTAGCGAAATGAACCGTGGTGTTACAAACTGAATGAGTGTGTCCAGCTTTACCACATTTAAAGCATTCAGAGTTGGGTGAAACTTGAAACAGAACAAACATTTACTAAATTTGTGCTCATCTTCGTGAACTGTTTCACAACTCGCCAATGAATTGTTATCTGAATAACTTTCATTACGTATTGAACTGCGACAACGTAGTAAAGTAGTGGGATTCCTGATGTTCTGGCGAGTCATTCGATCTTATTTTTCTCTCTTACCGCATTCGAAACCTGTATGCTTTACACGGTCGAACAGTAGTGGCTTGAAAGTTGCATGAGGAAGTGAAATCGGTTTGTCTGGACGTGCCAAAGTCTTTATTAGGCTGTATGCTTCTTTTCCGATGAATGCAAAAAAATGGGCCACAATAATAAAATCCTCATCATCTTCCTTGGTCATAGCCCAGATTTCAAACCTCTCCATGTAATCCTCAAAAGCATTAAAATCTGAATTTATATCCAAACGTTCCATCACAGGCTTCATCACGACGCCAGTGTGAAGTTTAAGAGTATTTGAATTATAGTATGAACTAGTAATCTCAGCAATAACACGATTTAATCAAGAAGTCTTAGATGAGCACGAACGAACGCATTGTATTTGG